CAGGGCAGCAAATTCTCAATTATCTTATCCCTTAAAAAACAGCTGGTTCAACATCTGTGCTTGCTGTAACTCTGATCTCCCACAGCGTGGGAGAGTGGCTTTCGGACAGGGGAAGAAAGGAAAATAGATCTCTTTCTCAGGGAGCTTGTGCTGCTGTTACCTGCAGAACTGTGCAGCAGCATCCTCCGCCGGCAGCCCCTGAGCATCCCTGGGATGTGTGGGGCCCTGTTTTGCCCCTCTGGAACCCTTCACGGGCTGAAGGGCTGCTAAACCAGTGCCCACACAAGTGGGGGAGCTGGAAGTGTTTTCACCCGTGCCACAGCTGTGGCAGGCAAGACAGGCAGCCTCCTGCACAGCCCTATACCGGGACCACTGCGCCAATGCTGCCTAATGGCCATTGCAAAAACACTTATCCATACGTGTAGAAATAATCTAATAAGCCACAGATGTTTAACACCATATGAAGGAAAGCATGTTTATCCCATTTGTTTGAAATATTGTCTTTCTTAACAACAGTAAGCAAGAAATCCTCACCAGCCACCATGCATTTCAGTACTGCAGAGTTTGAAAATGCCATAGTTGAGCAAAAAAAAAATAAAAAAAAAATCATAATACTAAATTGCCTCTTTTGAAGAACACCTGTCCTCCAGAAAAGTTTGACCAGTACAATCATCTTAAATAAATAAAGCTCAGGATGCAAGGCCATGGTTCCAGAAGCAGTCAGTGCAGGCTGGGGCTTATGAAAGGCTAAACTCTGATTCCCCAGCCTAAGGAAAACCAGACTTCTTTGAAGAGACCGAAGTTCGGTCCTCAAAAACATGGATAGCATTTAAAAATCTTTGCCCAGAGAGTTTAAGGTAGAGTTTGAGACAACAGCTCTGTGCTCTACTATTGTCCAGACGAACAAGGCAGAGTCTCACTCCCAGTTGTGTTGCTTCTTGTTCTCCCCAACCCATGCACATGCATCGGCCTATAGCTGGGCCTGAAGTGATCAGTTTGCAGAGCAGAAAACTGATTTGTTTTCTTGATTTGCTTTGATTTCAGCTGGTCTAGCACCTGGAACTGCCTCATCAGTGTGTCAGAAGTGCATGAGGCAGAAATGCTCAGTGAGGATGGGAAAGAGATGTAGAAGATCATCCCTTCTGTCAGCCCTTGTTATTAAATGATCTTAATAGTACATCTTTAGGATTCTTGTATTTTTCAACCAAAATCGAACCCGATCCAAACTCTAAAAACTCAAACTCTAAAAAACATATCCACTTCACTTTCCCAACGTGTATGACAGGGATTTAACAGCAGGGAGAAGTCCTCAATGCCTTCCAGGAACCTGATGGATGACTTGTGCACCTCTGTGCAGAAATAGATTGATTTATGTCAGGACTGATGGGATGGTGGGATGGTGGGCAGAGAGCAGAAAGCTGAAAATGGTGGAATAACATTACCAGAGATACTACTGTGGATGAGGTTTAGTAGCTCACACAGACCTCATCTTATGAGCTTGTTCCTCTCCCACTGAGCTTGGATTTGGTGTCCTAACATCTGTTTTGCACTGGGTGGTGCTGGTTCATTATGATCCCAGTAAGAAAGATGCTTGGACTCAGTGAGGTATCAAAGTGCTATTTATTAGAGCTAACACTGTAAGATGAGCATAGCAGAGGTAATCTTATATCCCTTTAGATGGCAGGAACCCCAAGTGGTGTATTGTTGAAGGGGCCTCCAAGCCACACACAGCATGCTGGTCACACCCCAGTCATAGGTGTGGTCATTCAAGCTATTATAGGATTAATTTCTTACAAGAAACCAATTCGATTCATCATTTCTACTGTCAAACAGAAAGGATGTACTCCTAAGAACTGGCTCCATGGTTAAATAAAGGCAAGGACATGCAGATGGCTTCATCCCCAGTAGCCAGCAGGAGCTGCTTGCAGGCTTCTCTGTTGGAATGGGCTGCCTGAGTTTATCTGATGGACAAGGGATTTGTGCCGAACACCACCGGTCTAAGGCCAGGCTCTTCTTGCAGCGTAGGGCTGAACAGCACAGCCCAGGTCTGGGCATACTCAGATTAACTGTTACGTGGATCACCAGCTCCTTGATGTACAAACGTCCTTCAGTCAGGATTACTACAAGATCTCACTGGAAGCACAATCTCTTTCCATCTGCATGTGGATCCCATCTTACAATAAGGTCCTTCAGACCTCCTAGTTGCCCAGCCACACATCGGTCAACTTCTTACAGGAGCAGGAGAAGGAATTACCCATGCTTACACAGACCACGGTCTCCATCCGTTGTAACTAGCTCAGTCTCCTTGAGTCTTCAGCAAAGGAGCAAATTAAAAGTATCTGTGTATCTGAGCAACCTGATCTATTGAAGATGTCCCTGCTCAGTGTGGGGCTGTTGGGCTAGATGACCTTTAAAGGTTCCTTCCAACCCGAACCATTCTATGATTCTGTGATCAAGGAAGGAGAGAGGAACATGGATTTATTTCTGTGGCTAAGGAAATGGAGATGTCAATGAGGAAGTGTTTGTCTACAGTCAGTCCCACCACCACTGGCAGAGATGAGATTTGTCCTCAGCTGCTGTGCTCTGCTCTAACCCCCATAAGTCTTCTCCTGATAAACAAGGAGGGGTTGGGAATGACTGTGGGCTTATAGGGTCCATGGGCAGCTGCTCCTCTCCTGCTGACATACTGCAAACATGTGCTATGAAAAACAACTTCACCTGGGTCCTCCCTGTGCCAAGTGGGGGCTATAAACTGTGGAGCAGAGAGAACCAGACTGATTGTCCACATTAAAAGCTAGAAACCAATGAAGAGTAGGTGTTTCCATATCACAAGGCCTTGGTTATCACACCTAACATCAAGATTAACATCAGAATCATCAGCATCAGTGCAGAAGAGAGGATGGGAGCCTGAAGAGTGTCAGGAGGTATTTCCTCTGACTACTTCAAAATACCAGTGGAAAGCGAAGTGTGTCATTACACGTCACAGGCTGTGGACTGAGTTCATAAAATGACTCCAGGGAATTTCCCTTTCCATTGCAGAAAGGAAGTCAGCACTGATCCTACAGCACTGGGAAATGGTGAGGTGGATTCAGAAAGGCTATAAAATAAGAATGAAATAAGATGTTGTAAACAGGAAAGCAGGGCAATAAAGGTTAAAGAGAAAATGAGGTAAAGGAAAAAGTGAAGTGGCGTGTATAAAACAGTGTGTACAAAGAAGAGAACAACAACATGGGGAACGGACAGGGCAGCCGAAAAAGGAAAGAAAGGGAAAATTTCTGAGCGATATTAAGCATTTTGGTGCCAGTCCAGTATTGATTCAAACACTGTCCAAGATCAGGGCTGGAGCATTTTCACGGGCCAATTCTAAAACATGCAATTCTGTGAATCAAAGGAAGTTTACAGAGCACAGAAAAATATGCTTAAGCATGTCCAAAACTATTCTGCCTCTGGAAAATTCCTGCAGAGGGATAGATGAAGCCCACATTATGGAAGTTTAGCTCTGAGTTACAGTTTGCACTGCTGCATTATTAACAGAAGAGTATTTTTAGTTTAAACTAAACTTGAATGCAGATCATAAATTTTCAGCAGAATTTATTGTCTTTTGAAACTTTTTCTTTGATATAGGTGAATCTGTCCTACCGATATTAGTAGTTCAAATCAGTAAGTAGAGGACAAGATAATTACAAGGAACTGTCAAGAAAGCAGAAATATAAATAGAAAGTAGTCTTCAGGAAAAAAATTACTGCTCTTGAGAACTATCCCTTACATTTCAAGTGCAGAGGGTTTTGGATTTATCCTTTCTGAAAACAGACTACTTTTTTTCTCCACCCCAACCGAGTTAGACAGAGTATTTGTTTGAAAGAAAGAAGAACAAACACCTGTATGTTCTTCTTGACCAATGTAAATTTGTCGTTGTATAATCAGTGTCTCTATCAAAGGGGTGAAGAGGAAATTGTAATAATGTGTGGAATGTGTAGGTTGCCCAGAAAGGTTGCAGATGCCCCACCCTTGGAAACATTCAGGGCCACGTTGGACAGGGCTCTAGGCAACCTGATCTATTTGAAGATGTCCCTGCTCATTGTGGGGGTGGTTGGACTAGATGGCCTTTAAAGGTCCCTTCCAACACAAAGCGCTCTATGATACTATGAACTGAATTTCTTAATGTCCTGAAGTTTCCTTCCTTTAAAACAATTGCCCAGAAATGAGAATGAAAATAGTTTGAAAGACCCACCAGAGCAAGGGCAGACTTGTTGATGGCCTCATATTTGTGCTTGGGCACACACACAGTCTAGAGATTGCCTTGGAGGTTGAAGTGATGCCAACAATGCCTTTGCAGTTACCAGAAAAATTCCGTCGTGTTTTCTCTGCAAATCAAAAATTGTCATGGTCTTATTAGAAGTAACCCATCTGAACTGCCCAGGGTCACCAAGTTAAGTACTCCTAGAAGTTTCCCATACCTGGAAACATTCAAGGTCAGGTTCAATGGGGCTCCAAGCAACCTGATCTAGTTGAAGAGGTCCCTGCTCATTGCAGGGGGGTTTGACTAAATGGCCTTTAAAGGTCCCTTCCAACCCAAACCACGCTATGATTCTGTGAAGTTCATTCTGCAAAGCACGTTCAGAACAAGACTAACACACACTGCCACCCACAGCCCTCATGACCAAGAGGGACTTCTCTTGAAAAAGCAGCCGGCACCAGCTGGTATTGGGATGGCTGGCTGGCCACGTATTGACTGACCGTGAGCTTTATGCAGAGACACTCCAAATGGATAGACTAGTCTCTGCTTGGGCAGATCTTGATGGATACTGCGGGCAGACATTAGCTATAGGAGAGAACTGTATTGGTGTAGAATTCCTCCTGGATGTGGACAACAGCTGTTGGCATCTTTTCACAAGTACTTATAAGAAGCCAATAAAAACAAGAAGTGAACCCCACAATCTTCAAATAAAATATAGAAATTGTTGATTAAGAAGGGACAAAATGTTCTGGGAAGCCACAGATCTGAATAAATAAGCATCAATTTTATTGGATCATGAATAATTTAAGACTGGTACAATCATCAGCTTTATTCTCCATGACACAGGGGCAGGGAAGGGAGAGAAATGGGGAAGGTGAGAAAGGGGAAGCATGATCTCAAACAGACCATTCACAAATTCCAATCCTAAATGAGAACTGAAAATTAAATAGGGAGAGGAGCAAATGGAAAACATCATAAACGTACACAAAATACTCAATTCCTAGTTTTTCTCTTTAAAAATGGCTAGAAAAAATTCATCAAAATGCAGCACTTTTAATCAAATATTTACATTTCTATGTTACAATGAAAAAATGTACATCTTATAGAACATATTTCATAAACTGTTCCACTGGAAATGACTAGATCAAAACAGCAACCTTCCATTTAATATTGACAAAGATTTTTTTGCTTTGTTTTTGTATTTTTTTCTTGAAAGAAAATTGCCACATTTAGACAAGATTTCATACACATAATATCGAAGTTAAGCATCAACAATGAAATATCAGTTTGCTTCTTCCAAAATGTACAAAAAGGCTAACCAACCCCCTCCCCTCCCTTTCCCTAAATAAAACACATCTCATTTATGGCCTGTATCATTCTTGGCAGTTCTGAAGGAAAGAAAATGGTTTATACTTTCAATTTAGAACTCAATGTGAATGTTGCATAGAATCTTGCATTTCTTTCTTGTTTTTTTTTTTTTTTTAAACAAGCCAACTTCTCAAGGAAAAAAAGGCAAAAAAAGAAGAAAAATAAAAAAAGGAAGCGTTTTGAAAAAGCCTTTAATGAGAATAAAGTCACTTGAAGAGAGATTTAATCTATGAAAAGTCTTGATTAAAAACTAAGACGTGCACAACAGGTAACCCTGCTTCCCGAAGTTTCAGAAAAGACACTGAATATTGTGATGCTTAGAATGACTAGCCTACTCAAAATTGCCTCTCTCACTGTAATCCAAGTTAGTGTCAATACAAAACAGAAGATAACAGAAATTATTTCCTGAGCTTAAGCACAGGATTAAAAAGGAGGAAAAAAAAAAAAACAAACAGTACCCCATTCCCCACAAATAAAACACCATTTTAAACATCTTACAGCACTCAGTTAAAGGTTAACTGAGACATTTTCTAGGATATTAAGTCCATTTAAAGCCCTAGCCCTGCAACTGGATTTTTCTACAGGCACATGCTCTATCTGCATGGATTCAGTTGGGGGATTAGGTACCAAAATTCACAGTAGTAGTAGGTAAAGTCAGTGCTGGGAAGCAGAATTGTCAAGACTACTGGAAAAATTAACCTCTCTCAAACTCATCATCAGCATGCTATGTATATGATTCCATATAGATCTATCCCGTTTTTACAGTACCAAGAACTGGATTAGGAACATTGGCTGAGTAACCCTTGGTATTTCATTCAGTGAAATAATGAAATAGAGTTCATAAGGTTAAAACAGTAACAACACCAAGCATTTCACCCCCATCGTTAAAATATTTAAATTTTTCTTTTACAATATTTTTCTTTAAAAACAAAAAGTCATCAGCACTTAAAAGTTGTAACGGGAGCAGATTCAAGACCAGCTCAGTAAGACAAAGTACAGTTATGTTACAGAAAGTCATGAGGTATAATAAAACGATCCTCTCAAGCTGAGTCACAGAAGCATGAACTTGTCTATTACTTTAAACCCACAAGCTCTTAAAAAAGTGTTTGTAATAAGTTTTCTTTCTCCACATTGAAATACCAGCATATTCCTGTAATTTACTAATGACATCATTTATTATAGCTGAAAAGCTTTTTTTTTTTTCCCTCCTGCATGGATAGAACAGCTCTTTAGTGATTTATTAGCTGCGGATTGATATGAACCCGAAAAGTTATCTCATTTCCCTCCTTTTTTGTCACATTTAAACAAATTTTAGCATCTCATACAAACAATATTCACAGCAACTTATGATATTCCAAGAGATGACTATAGCCCTGTTTCTTTAAATAAAATCTCATAATATACAGCACTAATTTAATCAAACACAATTAGTACAAAATAAGGCATCGCTTTAAAAGTCAGCACCAAAAGATAGCTGGAAAGGCTAGTACAAATCAATATTGAGGAGTGATGTTTTTGCTGAGGTACAGCTGACGTTGTGATGGTGGTGTAAGCATTTGCTTCCGTAAAAAGGAAAGTGCAATTCCTTGGGAGGTGTTCTTGTTCCCCAACAGAAGTACAAGCCTTAACACTGATAGTGTAGGTGTGTGCGTTCAGAGAGGAGGAGAAATAAAACCAGGTTCACAGCTCTGCCAAAACTCAAAAGCATGGCCCAGCTAAACTTAAAAGATGTAGTACCTTCCCTCCTTTTCTTCCAGATCTGAATACTGCTAAAATACCATTTTTTTTTTTTTTACTAGTTAAAAAGAAATGTCATGGAAATAAATGTTGTCACCACAGTAGCACTGGAACTGCCACAGAGCAGAGTTTTAATTAACACATTTGTGGTTGTGCTGATTGGAACAAAACCTCTGAACAAAACCCAAAGGTTTTAGAAAACAGCTGTAACATTTCATGGCAAGAATTATAAACTGAAAGTCCGATTAATCCCTTTTCAGGGGTGCAGTGCACCCCCGTGTACAGGGCTCATGACGCCTGTGCACTGCCGAACGTCCTTCAGAGCTGTAGGACTTCACAGGGCAAGGCCCTTTCGCTGACTTCTGCGGAGGAGGGAAACTCACTCACATCAGTGTAAATAAATTGGGTGTAATGCCACTGAAGTCAACCGAGTTGGTTATGTGGATGTAACTGGGGAGAGAATCAGGCCCTGACTAGCAAAGGGCTACCTGATCTTTCACTTGTAGTAGGATTGATTGTTACACAGTGTTTGAAAAAACCTGATTTGTTCAGACCGTATATATATTTTTATATATTCCTATTTATATATATATCTTTATAAACACACAATGAAAGAAAGCCAAGGTCTCAGACTGGCAAGGAGAGCAGCGCTTTTTGTTTTCTTTTCTTTTTCTTTTTTTTTTTTTTTTTTTAAATCTTTTAAAATATTTATTCAAACTTCCCTGTTTTGCAGCTTTGCCTTTATTGAGTATTATTACCAAGGCAAGCGATATTGTTATAGCACCAGAACTATATGAAGCTGAGTTTAATCCACAAAGCTGATTGGTAAAAGTCCAGCCCTCACCTAAATGTGTTTGGTCAGAAGCAGCATAGGCAAAAATTTCCTCTCCCCTCTCCTTCCAGATAGTACATGACACAAAGCTGTTTGCTTCATAGCTGTGAAGATCCCCCCCGCACCTTCAACTTTTAGCAATGATGATTTATTTTTAACATCTTCAGTATCTTAGGCATGAGCGCTTACAGCAACTAAACAGAAGAAAACAAAGGAATAGTGCAGTTCTCATCATCGTCAAAAGAAAAACAATACAAAGGTTGCTTGGGTTGCCTGCACCCAGGTTCAAGAGTGACTCTACGTGTCTTGCTGTTCTTGCAGCTCTAATACTGAGATCCCAGCCCAGCCCAGGAACACGCCCTTTTCATGAGTCTGTGATCAGGGTTCTTGCCAAGTGGGAAAGCAATAATGGAAACAACCTATTTCTATCTGTGGAAGATCACAAGGTCGACTCCAGAGACGAATCGAGGATGTCATCATGATGGCTGTTGCTGTTAGAGTCACTGTCGTAACTCTGGGGACTTGAGTAGTTGGCTGCTTCTTGCAGTCTCATTAGCATATTCATCTGCAAAGGCACAGAAGTTCATGATTATTTATATTCTGAGGTAAAAAAAAAAAAATCAACTCCATGTGGAAGCTACAGTGGCATTCACTTTGCCAGTGGGTAACAAAGGAAAGGAAGAGACAGGCAGGGTAATTAATACTGAGTCTGAAAAGAAATATTAACTGTAGAACATGTTATAGCAGCACACAAGTTAGTCATGAGAAGTATATTTTCCAGTAAATGTGAAAATGAGACGACTGAAGGGATCTGTCCACAGCCATACTCGACAGGATTCTGCAAGCATCCTACTCCTCTCTTGCTCTGACCCATGGAAATACGTACAGATCGATCAAAAGAAGCAAATTCAAATGTACTATTAACTACCTTGATATTTGTATATGTATATATGAGCTGGTGAAAAGCGGAACACATGTTCTATACTCCCAATTGTCCAGAAAAATGTACACCTCAACAGAACAGCTTCAGGGCATACATAGTTTGCATAGCAGTTTCAATAACTGTTTCCCATTGGAAGAAAATATATATTTAATGTTACCTTCAAACTCAATTTATACATTCTATACAAACATATGTTAATATTTCCCTGTGCCTGCATGTCATTTCTGATTCATAAATTAGACACCAGTCGTGGAGATTATTAGTTCACGTATTTTTTTAAAATCTCAATTCTCATTTAGTGTCAAGAATACAGCTCTAAAAAGCATGTAAAACAAAGCAACAAGACTATTTTGTAATTGTGGCAAAACAGGCTAAACAAAATGGTTCCACTGTGTTATTCAAGTATGTGTAAGACAATCACATATTTAATTCCACAGTGTAGAGATTAAGTTTATTACACACACTCACTCCTCAAAAAACGAACACTCAAAATATCCTCAAGAAATTAATCTGGAAAGCTTCTGCTGCCGTTTCTTGCAAAACTGTACAGGCTTTCTGTGCAAATGCATTCCCTGAGCTGACGTGATGACTTTCCCAGAAACATTACCTTCCCATTTGAGAACTGTTCAACACTCCTTAACTGTCCTTTACTTTTTTATTCCCACTTCTAATCCCTAGCAACAAGGGAAATGAAGCAGTTCAGCCGTTCCAAAAATGAAAGCTTACCAAAGGATCTCCTTCAGCATCACTCACTGGAACTTGTTTGCTCGTTGAGCCTTCCCGTGACATCGAGTAGCCATCAAAGCCCACGTCTTCAGGCCGCAGCTGTAGCAGAGGAGGCCACTCATGGTGCTGGGGGGTGGCTGCCCAAGGATAGGTGTCCATTACCCATTTGGCGGGATCTTCCCAGGGCGCTCTCCTCCCATACAACTGGAAAAGCATAAAAACATGTAAAACATTTCTATTAGTCTACCATTTCATACCTAAGCACAATGAATGTGCCATGAGTCTTGGATTGCAGAAAACACGTGCAAACAGGGCTGAACACAAACAAATGAGATTTCCCTCACCCTAATGACATAAAAAGTTTTTGCTGTTTTTAATGACAACTGACTTGGAAGAGACTGACCACCTCCTTTGAGTCTGCAGTGCCCTTCTGTTGGCACTAACTAAAGAAAGGGAGACCTGAAAAAAACCTCACTTAATAAAGTTAACATATAAAGTCAACATAGAACAGAGGCTATCAGTGTTGACATCCAGACTGTACCAGCAACTGCCTTATCTACGTTTGCTGTCATCGTGAAACCGCTGTCAGTGGAATGTGCAGGAGGAAATGTGAGACCTGTCATCAGGCAATAATGATGGATGTCATAGCACAAAGTTTTCAAGTCAGGGGAATTTCTTTGTATTCAACCAAGAAAAAGCGCCAGCAGGAATTGGCTATGTTCACATTCCTTCTTCCAGTAAGCAAGTTCTACTTCAAAAACTTCTTCTGTTTTGAACAGACTGTGTTACTGAATCCCAATGTATTCTTGTTATATTCAGTTAAGCTTGCCTTAATCAGATAATAAATTCATTTTAATGGCACATGACTTTCGAAAGCATAACTACAGCTTGAAGCAACATGAAAACTTTTAATTCTGCTTCATAAATCTCGGCCTAAATATCCTTCAGCAACTGGAGTTCGTTCCTGGCATACTGAATTCAGAGAACTCTCCTGCACAGTGCACAGAGGGAAAAGCAGTGGTCTAACAAAGAAATTCATCTGCTCTCTGCCAAATCTAAGACTACCTCACTTTCCTCATCACTATAGCTTCTCAGGTTTTTTGTGGTTTTGTTTTTTTGCATGCACCAAGTGTTAAATAAATTGCTCTAAATAGCAACATCTGCTTTCTTCTGAGGCAGGAGTGAGCGGTCCCAGCCCCCAGCAGAGGTGCCCAGCAGATGGTGCTAGGCCATCTCAAACACGGCCTCTGCCGCAGCCCAAATACTCTTCATCCTCGAGCTGTACTATATTATATTATTTTCCCAGCATAATGTCTTCAAGCTGCGGTAAACCAGATCTCCTATTTTAATCTTGTTCTCAAATTTACAGCAATAGATGTCAGTGCTGAGTGGAGAGGATTTTATATTTTTCACATGTCTTTGCTACCTAGAAGGTCTGTGTGGATCCCAGCTCATTTCTGAAAATTAGCTAGTAAGTAAAATTCCCATTTCAAATAGGATATCATCACATATCTTCAGGAGATGAGAGACTGAATGACTAACTTCCTATTCCCTTCCACAGCAACCTGCTCTGTTGATCCCTTTCATGTGCACATTTTCTAGGGAGCAATTAAGAGACCAAGGGTGGAACAGGCTGATTCACAAAACACCAAAGAGAATTCACCAGAGTACGAGTGACAGTGGCAGAAAGCCACAGGGACTCTGGGTCTTCGTTTTGCTGGTGCTGCACTCTGTATTGATACACCGAGCAGGAAGAACTGGGGTTTTACAGAGCCCTCTAATTTTCACATCCCTGTTTTAAAGAACAAAAAAACTCAGCTCCAGTGGGAGCAATTATTGTAAGGATCCATTTGGCTCACTTGTCTTTGACCCAAAATAGTTCTCTAAATGAGAAACAGAAACGTAAAAATAGTTCAGCTTAGATCCACAGAGATCAGAGTGAAAACAGCAGTCCACCCTTCCTTTCTGGCAGGCAGTTTCATGAAGATGTGTTCTCAGAGGAGCCTTTGCGGGTACGGGGGACAGAAAAGTCCAAAATAAAACATACATTTCTAGCCTTAGCTTGTTGATTAGCACAACTGTGGCTACTCTTCTACTGAAGTCATATTCTTATCCATTGACTAAACAAAAGAGAAATTATTTAGACAGAAATGAATAAGTGGAATTTGGGGACATGGGACTGAAGTGGATAAAGAATCTAAAGCACAAAGTGAGAAACTGAAATCCTCATACTTGGAATGGAAGCCACTCAACCTATGGAAAGATGCACATATCAGGGAAAACAAGCAAACAAAAATATGGGTTTTCTCTCTCTTAATTTCCATTACTAATTTTTCAATGCTTTCTGCATCTACTGACCAGCAATATGAGAGCTTCAACACACAGTACAAGGAGCCCAAGCATCCCTGTGAGTATCAAATTTCTCCATTTCAGGAGGAAACAGTCACATGTTCTCTCATTTTAGGTCAAAAAGATTATTAGTTCCCATTATCTTCCCTGATAGGAAGTCTTATGTAAAATGGATCTCCTGTTCTATTTCTAGCAAAGTTCCTCTGTGTGTTTTGTACTCCAGGACCTATCATTTTCCTCATGCCTAAGAATTTACCACAATTGTCCCAAAGAAAATAAGGTCTCCAGACACTGAGAAATTTCAAATGGCAATCAGTTTGCCCAAATTTTAGCCAAAACTTGTTGAAGAATTCATACAGTTTGTAGATTTGTAAGAAGCCATTAGTATAAGCTCAGTTTTCTGTGACAGGATTTTCTCGTCTCTCTGTAAACATCTATAAATCTCTGCTGTACAGGTAGCAAGTGAAACCCAAGGTGGCTTTAACTGGACAATGTAAAATCCCCACCCGCTCCTTTTTTTACAGCCCTTCTTCAAGCACTCAGACTAGTGCATCTTCCCGATTTCTCCATTCTCTGCAGAGTATTCCCATGCAGAGAAGAGTTGAACCTCTAATACAGAAAGGGTACTGCATAGTAACGTAACAAACAAGCATATAAAAACAAAATCTCAGTATTTTCCAAAATAAATCTTTCGCGCTTTTTTTTATGTATCTTAATGGCAAGGCATCCTGACAAACACTGCAATGGTGAGCCCTAAGGAAGAGCAGAACAGAGAACTGTTTTACACAAACATTCTGCAACACAACTGGTTCTTCATTGAGCTCGTATCTGGAGTTATTTCATGCTTCCGATAGACTTCACACAGACACATATGTGATGGAGATCACACATAAAATTTTGTTAATTGATATTACTAAAAACAAGTTGTGTCTTACTTATGGTATGAATTTTTCTAGTCCAAACTTGTCAAACATCCACTAGACTCTTTTTTTCCCCTGCAAGACTAAAGCAGAAGGCTCTGATAGACCAAGTAATATTTTAGATTCATCTTGAATAAACTGAATAGTTTGAGCTGCTCATCTCCCTCATTGAATCTCCTGTATCTTAATGATACCTACTGCTCTTTTCTGAACCTTTTCCACACTTTTATCTTCCTAATGAGTCTTTTTATGTATAGAAGTACTACCCTCTTCCTATCTTTATCAGATGTAATTATAGCTTATGCCCTTAAAATGGCATTTATTCTCTCACCAAAACACAAGCTCCCAATGCATTGCTGTAATTTCCTGTTCTCCATCTACTTTTTGACCTTTTTAAAATCTTCCAGACTCTCACTGTGATCCACCTTTTTATTTCTGTATGTGTGTTCTTGTGTTTAGCTCTATGGAAAAAGAAGTGACTTGAAAATGAGCTGTCTGCTAACAGATGCCGCAATGGGAAGGCTTCAGGTTCCCATCTGCCCTGGCTCTTCATGTTACCAAAATACAGGGAACTTTCTCAGAGAAAAAGCTTTATCAAAAATAATTACTTTCATGTATGCAATGCCCCAAATCTACTGATATTTGATTATGCTGTCTCCAAACCTGTCTTTTAAGCTATGTGCTGCCATGCTTAGTACATGAACAGAGGACCAAAGAATTAAAAAAGGTTATTTTTTCCAGTTACATGGCAAGTCAATAGCAATACTCTGTTGAACCCTCCCCTCCTGATTCCAGCAAGCTTTATAGTTGTACAGATGCTAAGCATTGTGCGGCAATGCTTAAAACTATCCCAATTGATAGAGTATGAATCACTTACTAAGTACAGGCAATCCGTGATGATTTCACTATGGTCCCCGAAAGAATTATGAAGTAATCTACTAAAAAAAACATCCTGTAGACTGAGAAATAATCAAAATGTCACTGGTACTGATCCTGTCACGCATTAATACGTTTGTCTCCATACACAGCTTTGTTCTTCCTCTGTTGAAAGATATGATTTACAAAGGAAAATCCTCCGTAACTAAGTTAATGACCACAAACACGTTCTTCAGATGCACAATTTTAAGGTGCGCTTCTGGAACAGAATATTGAAAGATATTTGGGTGTTTAGTTCCCCTCACTGAAAACGTCATAGTTGGGCATCTAAGCACTTCTCAAAAAATCGAATTTTGACTTTTAGTGCTTCCACTCTGTATTTAAAAACTGTTTGAAGTGAGTATTACTGCCTGAAATTAATGACAATTTAGGTTACATTTTCACAGACATGCAGGTATTCAGTGTGCAAAGTTTTACCTACAGAAAACGTTGCTGTAACTCAGTTTTGTCCAATGCTGTGTTGCCTTTTGAAGAGATAACATTCAAGACCTATGATTCTTGACTTTTGTCTGCTCACCTGTAGCCCTTCTCTAACTGCCTCCAGAAGATATGGGATGATGGAGTAATTCCACAAGTCAGTAAACCAAACTCTAGAACCATCTACATCTATCGGACAGGAGAGGAAGAGCCGTGGACCTGAAAAGGGAAATTCAGGTATTACACTCAAATCACAATCATGGTATGCCTCAAAAAAGGCTCAAACAACAAATTCCAGCTCTCTGGAGAAAGAAGCCAAAAGTGAGAAAACATAATTAGCTATCTGGTGAACTGCTCTTCCCGAGAGCTCCAAGATCCTCTGAATCAACTTGAAAACCTACAGCCTTCAAAGCGAAACCAATTAACTAGGTTTCATAACACAGTTTGTATCCAAGACTTAGAAAGAAGACCTTTTTATTTAGAAGAAAAAAAAAAATTAGAAACTTCTTGTACAGTTTGCCTCAGAGTACACTGCCATATATAAGTTGGGTTTTAAAGAAACCTTTTTTTATGTGATATAGCACAAGGAAATGTACAAGGACATAAAATGATATACAAGGAAATAAAATACATACAATTTACATATGCCTGGGCATATGGACAGAGCACTTACCAATAGTAACATCAGAGGAGCTGTGAGCCTCCAAGAATTTGTTCAGATGATGCCAGACCTTGGGAATCCAATCAATAATTTTAACCAGCTCTGCATTTCTCATCCTGCCACTGATCTCTGTTTCAATTAGTTTTCTTCTCAAGAAACGGCCAAGAAAGCCTTTGACCGGTTCAGTGTGGTTAGCACACAGCACCCATCTGTGGCAGAAGAGCAGAAATGTCCATTATTTCTCTTTCATGCTACAGAACATACCTTCTCTGGGCTAAATTTCTTTTCTTATTTCTAGATGATTATCATGATCTAAATGGGTTGTCCCGGTCACATATGTTTCTTAGCAAAAATTATTTTGGAATGATGAGTTCACTAAATGAAACAATTTGTACTGTGCATTGTTTCAGCTTAGTTCTCATTCAGTATCTGCTTGGCCTATTTTATTTAAAATTTGTTAGAGGATCAAATATGTTAACAATCCTCTGAAAAAGAAAAAATTTATGAACTGCAGTTAGTTACTGTAATAACAGCATTATAACAAATCCACACATGTTAGGGCAGCATCTAGTAGCTAATGGTATTTCTCTCTGCTATTTCAGCTGATAGGGACATTTTCAGATGACTCAGTAGCCATTACTCCTTTGTCAGCCCACAAATATAAATAAGAAACATGAATAAACAGTACCTGAAATTATGGTGAAGTTGAAGATTAGGTGTTGAAGAGGTGGCTTGGTTCATTGTGCCAATAATATATGGACTATTAAAAAAATAAAAAAAAACCAAACAAATCATATTTATAAATGTTGTAAAGCAACTTTTTAGTAAGATCTCAACATTTAAAAAGGTTATTCAAGCCTCTTTTGTCAAAGAAGGTTTTTGCAGTTATTTATAACCAAATTCTCTACTGAGAATCTGACTTCTGAGAACATCAAATTCTGAAACCAAAACAGAAATCTCAAAGCAGGAACTTTCACTAAAAATGGGGTTTTAGTACTGAAGATCTACTGCATGAAGTGAATGCAAATTACCTAAACCCTCTACTACTTTATTACTGATTTCAGAAGAATCAACCATTTTATGAAGAAAAAAAGCCTCTGAAGTGTTGTACAAAACATAGACAGTCTGGCCATCTTAATCCACTTTATCAAATTAATCTAGAATTTGGTTTTGTGATCACATTTTGCAATGGAGGTGGTCTGGCTGCAGTATTGAAATCTGGAATGTGTTCTGGTATTATTTCTTTACCATTTGTGGTACTTGCAGTTTAGAAGTCCATTAAAGATCTCTCCTAGGGAGCTAACATGATGCAAATTATCCAAAATGATTACAAGAGGCATATCCACAGCATTATTTTCACTGTTACACTGGTCTGCAAGGTTGGACAGGTATTGGCGGAGTTCCTGCAAAGCATATATAAAGAAAAAAAAAAAAAGAAAAAAAAAAAAAGAGGCTTTTCATCATATTCCTTGAAAATCCAGTTAAGTTAAATGAACTACTGGCGCTGTCGTGAAATCCAAAGGAAAAGAGCCTGCCATCTTAAAAACGTACACATTTGCCATGAGAAAACAGAACAACAGGGGTTTCTTTCTCTTTTGTAGGCTGTGTTGAAGATTGAAAGACTATATCAGAAATCCTGTGTGAGATAAGGGCTTAAAGATAGGTAAGATATTCTTGTTTGATTTATGTTTTTTCATTCATGCTGTCCTAATCTGACACTCAGAGGTCTGAAATGTATTTTTCTTTCTTTTCAGGAATTCGTTCAACTCTCCATATACCAAACCAGACTCTGCATCCCAGATAGGTTTGTTGCATCTTCTTGCAACTGTGTGCCTATCGAAATACAGCTGATAAAGTTGATCTGGAACAAAGCATCCCTTGGCAGAGCCCAAATTTGGATACCTTCAGTAATGCAGTGAAAGAAGGATGAGTTTGTGGGGCTGCTGCCAGGTGACTGGGTGTGGTTGAAATGCTCTCAGCATCTTTAAAGCATTTATTCCAGAGCATGTCTCAAATTATACCAGTGGCCTACAACCACAATTTCAAACATCCCTTTCCTCCAGAGGGGAACGTGCCTAAGGCCATCAAATATACAGCTGCTTTTTTTTTTTTTTTTTTTTTTCCTTTAATCTAGATGTTCACTGGAGGTATACTCAGCAAAACCAGCAGCACATAAAAAGCAGAGACATGTCTTACTGGCAAAGGAATGTGTCTGGACAACAGTCCCTCCAAACCCAGCATATGCAGATTACAAATGCTGATACTTGCAGCTGCAGAAACTCCTGACAGCTCAGAGATGCATTTGATGGTTTTTGGAAAAATGCCCACATGCAATAGGGATTGCTTAGGTTGCTGGGAATTTTATGCAGGTGTTTAACTTCCTGGGCAATTCTCAGGCTCCTAACCACTTGAAAATCATGATACCTTTAGGTGTTTAAATATACACCTGGAAGCCTGCTATTTCAAGCCCATAATCAGGTGAATCTGCAGTTCTGAAAAACCTTAAATATTATTCCTTTCAAGATTAACATAATGCTTTAAAAAGAAAGATAAATTTAAAATCAGCTTTTGAGGGATTAGTAAAGGAAGAGTCTCTCATTATGATATACAGTAGCATTACTTGTTCAAGGCTGATTTGTTCCCTCACCTTACTGGATTTATGGTCCACATTGAAGGTTGCAATAATGCCATCGGCCAACTCCCTGCCCTCTCTAAGGACCATGTACTCAGACAGACGGTTTGCTAGATATGTTTTACCAGTGCCACTGGGGCCAGATAAAATAATCCGTCTATGTTCCATCAGGAGAGAGACATAACGCTGCAGTATAGGCTTTGGGATCAGTGATTCAAACACCAGACCATCCAAACTGTTCTCGCAGATACCTGCAACAGAAAAAGATTCCTCATTTAGAGGGATTCCCAGTTTTTAGCTAAATTATCTACATTTTTAAAAGGTTTGTTTTTACTAAGCAGTTGTAATGTTGGAAAGCAATCCTGTTAGTGGAGTTTGAACAAATCAAGATTAGTTGAAATGACTAGGTAGCCAAGATGGAGAACTGAAAACTGATTTTGTGAACGTATCGGAGTTCAGTAGTAGTAGAAGAAAATCCCAAAATAACACTTAGAAACAGCAGATTTAGATCTGACCTGACCAAGCTGTTTCTCACTTCAGAGACGAATCCCTTCCCACTCTGGTATCCCCCATGGTCGAGAGGAACACATATAAAGTTGGTAAAACACGTGCACGAGTGACCTGTGGGCTTAGCCCGAATCCTCATTCCGCTCTCCCCCTTTTCAAAATACTCAGACTGCACCCTATGGTGTCTAAGGCCCTATGAAAGCTGCTGTGGTAAATGATTCCAGGCCACATTTTTCACACACAAACCATCCATTTTTCAGTATTTTACCATGGATGGTACACATTCATCCAGAATTTACCTGTTTACTTTTGAATCACTAGACGAAAAACGCCAGCTATCATCAACTCCCCCTACTTTCCCAAACCTTGTAATTAAACTCCTTCTCTGTATGCTGATAGTTATCTCTTCTAACAGAAAACTCCTACTGATAAGCATTTACGCAATGTCAGCAGTCACTTTAGGCAGAATTGGCTGAGGGAAAATACACAGTGCTTCAAAATAAACAGCAGAAAGGGAAGTTGGCAGAGCACACAGAGAAATGTTTGCACCTCAGTGGTTACTTGGAATATTAAATATTTATATAGGCAGCTTTTTATCTCAAAGGTATATGTAAGTGATTTTCCATAAATTGATTAAATACACTTCTATTTTATTGAAAACTGTTATCACGTATGAACCTTCAAAGTATAATTCAAGCCAATGCAGGTTAAATATAAATTCAGATTGCAGGTTTACAGATTTGTCTAGACCTTAAGCAGTATTTCAAATGACAGTTACTATGGAACAATGTATCCTAAGTAATAGAATGAGTTCACATTGAGCCTCAGTAAATTGAGATATTTCATGGAGTATTTTGTCTTCTTGCCCACTGATTTGCTACCGAAGATAACTGATTTTTTTTTTTTTATACCATTCAATTAAAAAATCAAACTACTTTCAATCAAACTTTGAAGTTGATCTACAGAGTGTTTGGCAATGGTCTCAAATAATCTACTGCTGGATGCAGATCTACGCTCAAGATTTCACTGGTGTAACGCTGAGCAACCCGATGTATGTTCAAAATGCAGTGCTTGAGGATTTTTCCCTCTAACTGAGTTTCAAAGCATAGTTTTACATATAAAATTGTTTCCCTGAGAAACCAAATGGGCTTGTACAAGAAATATAAGCATTTATTTCTTATCAGTACAATATAATGAAACTGATGAGAAGTTTGAAAAGAATACATTTTGAAAAAAATCCAGAGTTTAAGGTGTCCTGTGAATTCTGGGATCCCTCCTTAGTGGTGCCTAAGGAGGGACTCTTCAGGGACATAAATCAAGCAAGTGAAACCAAGAATTGTTTTACTCTGCATGAAAGAAGGAACAAATTTAGCTGTTACAGAGAGGTGATGCGATTCTGAGGCTTTATTCATTTGGTCAGGTTGGACGGGGCTTTGAGCAACCTTGTCTAGTGGAAGGTGTCCCTGCCCGTAGCAGGGGGTTGAAGCCAGACAATCTTTAAGGTCCTTTGAACCCAAACTGTTCTATGATTCTATGATTTGGAAGGTATTTTGCTGTTCAAGCAACTCCACTACATCCCTTGTGGTGTGAGGTCTTCTCCAGGACAACTCCAGGCATCAGTTCAAGATATGTGGAGATAACTGCCATGTGTGTCATTATTCCTACTGTTACAGGTTGAAAATTTGTTGAATTTATAGACTTAGCATACGCTCAGTGCTGTCTTTATCAAATAAAAATAGAAGGACCAGTAAATAAAAGGCAGGGACAAGGAAAAAGAAAGAGAATAAAAAACTTCTACTCCTCTAAGTTTCTTGACACAGCAGGCTTCGATAGAACTGTCATTAGTGAGAACTACAACAGACAGGTCAAGCAAAATTACCTTTGATAGTAACTGAAATAGTGTTGTTTTCTCCAACCAGATAGCCACAGGGCAACAGCTCAGGTGTCTCTGCACTATTAGTGCGTTTGATTTCTCCAATGCTGTAGCCCAGAACACTGTCTGAATTCAGTCCTAGCTGGCTCACGGGATCCACGTGAATGATATACTCCTAGGTTGAAAAAGGGAGATGGAAGGTTAGGCAGCATTGAAATCTCTGTGACTTTGTTCTATGCTATAATAGCAATAATCACAGCAAGTTAAATATTGCTTGATACCATCAAAATCTAGTAGGAGAATTCAAGCACGCAGCAAATTGTACTCACTAACCTTGAACAACCGTCTTACAACTCCATCCAGAACATCCCACTTGGTCTTGCCACTGACCCCGATGCAGCCTATGAGGAAGGTGCGAGGCCTTGAATCCTAAATGTACAGAAATGTGAATTGAAATTAATAAATCCTAACTGTATGAGACAAATCTGTTTAATGTGTTTAATGGCTTTTTTTTTTTTCATTTTTTCTTCTTTTTTTTAAATTACAGTGCATCTTTACCACTCTATATGACGAATTCTGAATTTCTGTTCTACTAAACATTTTCTACAGTGTTGGAGTCACCAATCTAAAGGATACTTGAGTGGTCCTGATCTTATGCAAAAGGTACTTATTAATCAATCCATGAACAATTCAAAAGCCTCTGAGAGGATTACATCTTTGCAAAAAAGACAGTCTCTGAGGAAAATTCTAGGCAGAAAAGTTCAAGGCACCTACATCGTTGACACACGGTCTAGTCTAGCAATCCTGTGTTACTGATACAGTTCATGGCCAGTGCTAATGGCACCAACAAGAAACTGCAAAATAAAAAGCTACTGCGGATGAGACCATGTGACAACCTGAACTGGTGGTGTTGGCTCTCAGCAGTTCCAAGGAAGTGGAAGGGAGATGAGTGTCTTGTCTATCTATAGTAATACACCAATGAACTACTTTGCTGAAAAAAATTTAAAAAGTGTTTTGCAAATAAAAGCCTTCACAACAAACTGGATTAGAACTCCCTGGTACATTCCAAAGTCACTTATATTTCAAAGCTGGGGATGAACACGACTCACCTCCTTCCATTTCATTTCATCCTGAAAACTGACAACTATTTTGACGTGCCTGCCTCCTTCTTTCCGGGCAGAGCCATCTCCAGTGTCATCTAACAGCATGTCTGTGAACAGAAAACATCAACAGCTTCATAGCTTTATCTTAATAACAATGAAGACTATTCACCAACACGTTTATTGTAGTCACACACAACACATCTGGGCTTCATATGTCCTGAGGTAAAACACAGGAACCAGGTTTACTGACTTCCCTACCAAACATCAGTATCACTGTTAAAAAGTGAAGGTCACTGAAACTTATTAGTCTGTATTTTCCTTCCTGCAATATATCCCCTGGCAAACATACACCATTAAATGGTTTTAAACATGACTCTCCTTAGCTGAGGTCATAATTGGACAACTCTGATCTAGGGCGTAGCAGACCTTTGACGACATTTTAAAAGAAGGCTTTGTGCCAGCTCCTGACATATTTCCACACCTCAACTGTTAATAATTTTCATGTTTTCATTTTTCCATGGCTAACCAAACCAAATCTTCCAAGTGCAGGATTAAACCTGCCCACTGCCTTTCTCATTAAACTCACCAAGACTGGTTGACTCTGTGAGGTTCAAACTGTGTTGAGAGAGACCCATTGAATGTCTTGGAGAGGATGAAATGGAAACCTGAGACTGAGCCCTGCTGCAGCTGCCATGGTTTTCAGATTTCAGCCGATCATTTTCTGCTTTTAATTTTTCAATCTCACTCTTGAAAAGACAAGTCAGAAGTTAGAAGACACAGTGAAAACACACTTAAAAGACAGCAACATACGTAACTTAGGAATAAATACTAGTTTAGCAGAAATGACATTTTAATAATATTTTAATTTATTTTAATAAATTAATGATTTTAATTATTACAATGTCTGTTCCATGAAACTTTTTAAAGTATCCTAGAAAGCATAAACATGTGGGAATCCACTAATCGCTGAAATGTAGCTACACTGAGGCAGAGAGCATGGGAATATTTTAAGAGGTTGCTGACAGTCAGCACAATGTTCTCCCCATAGGTAATTAGGGTTGAAACAGTTACAGCTGCAGTTGAGGGCAGCAAAACTCATGTGTTCAAGCTGACTTTTAATGAAGGTACAAGGTTTAACACTGGGACAAAGCTAAACACAAGTTTTAGTAAGCATTCAGAAACTTAAAATTTACCTTCTTTCATATCTTTACGGTTGGCCAAGCTTTAACACATCAACACAGAAGGCAATATTTGGGGTGGTTATTTCTTACCTGCATTCTGTTCATCGCCTCCCGAAGCTGGTCAAGCTGATGAGCAGAGCTAAGAGCTTCTAGCCGAATATCAGTCAGCTTCATCTCCTTGTCTCTGAGCTCATTTCGTAATTGCATGACCGTTTCAGCTTCGCTGTCAGTGCATTCAGAAATACTGGAAGAGTTTGAAAAACAGACATTGAATGAGACCATTTGTTACTTTTCAGATGGTGCTTCTCCAGCATTTATTAGTAAATGAGGAATAAACCCCTTCTATTCTGCAGGAAGCAGGCAACAGTTTTGGCTTACTGGATTAGTGATACCATAAATCAGATATTAAATAGGTCACGGAAACATTAGACAGTAGTGAAATAAATATGTCAGAGGGTTATTTTTCTTTAATCAGCATCTGAAACAGAATTCTGGAAATCACCTACTATTGGATAGTCTTCATTTTTTTTCATGGTAGTTGCCATAAAGGACAACTTCTAAAGACAAAATCTAAATAAATTAAGGGGGTGCAGGCAGTAACAGCAGTTGGTTGAAGATTGATGAGTTTACAGACAGATTTAAAGCTCACCAGGTGTGCACAGCTGGGTGTCCCTGAACTGTTCTGGAGGGCTTTGGAACTCTACACCTTTTCAAGCACGATAAATTCCTGCTTGCTTTAAAGCACTCATGCTTAAAAAATTTTTGGTGGCATTTTTCTTCACTCTTCCCACAAAAAAAGAGATTTTGGGTGAATAACATTTCAGCACTTTTGTAAGTGTATCTATATAAAGATCAACTACACAGCTGCATGCTTTGAGAGAGATTTCACATAAAATGTCTCTTCCTCAATCAGGTTAACGAGAGATGTTTTCCCCACCAAAAAGCCAAAATACCCAAGTTTTACTTGTGCTCTAGCCTTCTCCCAGTTGAGACGTATGCACATAGCATTGTGACTGATGATAGAGGGGATCATCATTTGACAATCTTTGGGCCCTAGATTTCCAAAGCACAATTTGCTGTATTCACTAGAAACTCACTGAGTAAGGCTCAAGAGACTGGAGAAGCCTTTAAAAAAATTCACAGAGGATTATCTTCTGCTACTAACATTTCATCACTATTATATGGCTGGAAACTATTGCTATTGTTTTCACCTCTTCATGTGAAAACAAGTGATGGGCAAAGCTTCAAGTTTGGGTACTTACTCAAATGCATTTGATGTGAAATTGGGCTGGAGGCTTTGCACGACATCTGCAAGGTCGTAAGGCTGTCTGGTAATTATATGTTTCACAATACTGCCTCTGACAACTCTCTGTATTTATCCCACTCAAGTGACACAGCTACTGATAGAATTAACATAAAATCTGTTCTACAAGGTTTTCCAAGCACATTCGAAAATATGAGTTTAGACACAGAACAGTGAGGTATGGCAATTATTTAACTTTATTTCACAGGTGGCCAAAATAAAGCTTCAAGATTGCCTGTGACCTTCCCACGAACATGAAATGACTTCAGCAGCAGAGCAGAAGTCTTGACCTTAAAGTCTACATCTCATTCTCATACAAATGCAAGCAGAAGGGTATGGTTTGGTCATACAGATGAACCTCTACAATAGCTTGCTAGTACCCAAACGAATGCTTCTGCTCCTCACTCCTCTTCCCCAGCCTGCTCCTGGCTGTGCTGCTGTCATGCCCCCATGCTTATGCCAGCTCTGGCACCCATCAGTCTGATCAGACTCCTAAGCTGAGCCAACCCAGCAACCTGGGGCAAATAACCTGTTCACATGTTTATCAAATTATTTTTCATATAATTTATCATGTTTCATCTTCTCAGAGGAGCTGTCTGAGATGTAGCAGAGCCAGTGCAGGTGGCTGGAGAGGTACAGGAGAAAAGAGAAGCAGATCACCTCCATTCATCAGGCCCAAGCTGTTAGATGAGTTCAGTTGTATCACTAAACCATGCTGTCTGATTTCCAGTAAATCCTTACCTTTATCTGAATTTGTCAACTTAACTGGGAACTCATCATGGCAGATTAGTACAATATGTACTGTCTTTAGCCAACATAGAAAAGAAAATCCCAGACTTGGCCTGGCTGGTTTCATTAACAGCAAGAAATCCAATTAATTCTGCACTCCAAGGTCACCCTGGTTATGCTCTTCATAGTCAACATATTCTGCTGGGAGAGCACCCCAATGAAATACTGAATTATACTATAGTAACAATGCAATGATTTTGGGCTTCCTGGAAAATAATACAAAGGTACTGGGTTGGGAGTCAGTTTATGCATAGTCAGTTCCCTGAATATATAAATTATATTTTCTGTCCTCTGCCTGTAATCTCCTCTGCCTACAGAACATTCAGAATAGGCAGTAGTTGAAAGGGTGATCTTTGCTCATTCTTTTGGCACTATGACAGGGTTAGGGATTTTACCCAAAACACTTAACAAAACACAGCCCCCCTCTGGGAGATAATGTAAGTGATGACTGGGAGGAGGACTGAGCAGTGTCAACAGACCAGCCCTCATCTACATGACAACCATGTCTTCTGCTGTGGCCTCCTAGTGAACAGCTGGTTTTGGCTGTGCATATAGCTGAACAGCTGTTAGACTCTTGTAGTACTCATACAGATGAGCAGATGCTTAGACAGAGGAACCAAAGGGAACAGGATGGTGTAGGGTACATTTTGCCTCTTCTTGTTTCTGTAAAGTGGCTTAGAGATGTCCTGTAAAGCTAGCATGGAAAACACTGGATCTCTCCAAAGCACAGTATTTCTCCTTTCCTCTACCAATGCAGCAAGATGCCTTCCACTCCATTTCCTTTTTTAAAATTACAAAACCACTTACAGAGAGTTGGAATGTGAAGCTCTCAGCAACGGTGTTGAAACAGTGGAGTTATGGTGCGGTAGCTTTGGTGAAGAAGGTAACGATGAATCAGTCATCTCCTCAATATCTGAATGAGAAGATGCTGACTTGGGAGATTTCTTTTTACCAAAAGCTTGCTTGAAGGAGCTGCGTAACTGAAAAAAACAAGACCACAAAAGTAGGTACATCATTAAGCATGAAACCAGGCAAAAAAAAACCCCACAGAGTAAAAATTCTAACATGCAAATACTCCAAATGATACGGCCATTCTCACATATATTTTAATATGGGTAGAAAAGAATGAAAAAGCTTTTTTTCCTTAACTATTTTATGAGATTAATAAGGTCAATAGGACTGGATGTCAATGCTTCCTGTATTTAAGGTAACTATAGAGAATTCTGTTCAGTGCAACAAGCTTTACAGCAATATTGTAACAACTTGAAGCTATAATGTAACATGGCTCAGACAAGGTTAAGGATGCTGAATTGGTTAGCGATGTAAATGGAGGGGTTAGCTTTGTATCTCATAGTTTAAAGTAGGTCTTCCTTACCTCATTGACCTGCCGGAAGAAGCACAAGCAAAAGGAAGCAGGGGAAGGAAAAAAGACATGTTTTAACAGATAAAGCCAGTGATAAGGAAAGCTTTGGATTTCTAAGACAAACATGACCAATAATCAACTAAGACCAACAGTTACTTTAAAACTGGAACCCTGTATTTTCCAAAACCAGGTGTTTCAAACAACATACAGTCATTTTTGCATTACTTGAGGGAAACACCAGACCCAGATTTCTGAACTATTTAAATTATATTTTCTCCTTGGTTCAGACAGAATGTTTTGTCTAACAGCCAAGTCAAGATGTGTGTTTCCTCTCAGGAACAGGTATTTCACCAGGTAAAAAGACTGAATCTTCACTGTGTACCTGCAACTAAAAGAACCTTTTTTAATGTGACTGCCATTTTCCAAAGAATAAAAAGAATGAATATTCATGGGATTAATCTGACATTATCCCAAAGTTACAGTTCAACAGTCAGTGTTCAAGAAGTGTTTGGACAACATTTAACTTTTAGGTTGCCCTGTGTGGAGTCAAAGCTCACACTTGATGATCCTCATGGGTCCCATTCCACCTCAGGATACTTTATGAACAGCGTTTAACGCTACTGGAAATTATATGTTGTAAACTGACTGACTTAATATGAGCTGAAAGTTATTTTTCAACTAGACAAAGACTCTTATGGTGAGAAATGTTGAAAATTGGGTGTTTCAGCCCTGAATGGACAGCTGCATTGTTTCTATATATAACAAAAAGATCTTGGCTGAGAACTTCCTCGGTATTTGTGAAATAAACAATGTGTGAATCACACTCAACTTATTTATTTTTCTCAGTACATGACTGCTTTAATTTTCAATCTTCATTTTACAGCAGTGATGTACTCATTTTTAATAACAACATAAAAATACTGTCCTGTTTATTCTACTTGATGAAAACTTTACTTATTTCTCTTTGTAAGAAGGAGATGTTTCTTTAACCTTCTTTAAAAATAGTCATCCAATGAATAAGAAGTGTAGGCTGATGTGGACTAATATCTACTAGGTTACAATAACAAAGAACAGAAGCTAAAGCAAAAATTTTAAAAGTGTTTATCTTAAATAAGGCTTTATGATTACAAAAGGTTTGTGTCACAAATCAAGAGTCACTAACAATTTAAAAGTTACAGCAATTTACTTTGTCTCTAACTAATGTATAACTCAGCAGAGGAAGGATTTGAAGATGACATTGTTTTCATTCAACCAATCATTGAAAAGGCAGAGTGGAAGTACTGCTGTTACGAAGGTGCTGGCAAGGTATCAAAATGAAACCACTGGGATAAGAGAGAAATAAACCCAAGAACCTGCTCAGGAAGCTGTTTCTTACAGTTCAAGAGTTTTATAAACATTCCTAAGAGGATATTGTGCAAATAAAAATCAACCTTTTACCAGATCAAACCATATCTTATAGCTATACAGATTTATCTGTACACCCAAAAGATCCAGGGAGATTTAAATTCAGTGGAAGGAAGGGGTGGATAGCTTTACTGGTTACAATAAAGGATCTAGAGACTTTAGTTCAAACTACAATCAGACTAGGTCACTAAAGCAGTTATGATCTAATTCAAAATGGAGTTTAACATAATGTACCTTTCCTCCAGTACAGGGTACCTTGTACAGAGTATATGATGAGCAAAGAAGGAAAAACGGGAAATGAAAGGTAAGTAGTGCAAAATCTTGCAAAAGAAATGTCCATCACAGTAAATTTTTAAAGATTGTTATTTTTTTGTTGTAGAACTCCACAGTAATGTTCAAAACAGAGCTCTTAAAGTGTTTAACATGTTTACTTAAAAGAAAGCTTTACGAGCCAAAAAGAAAAAAACAGTAAGAATGATCTCTCATTGTGGATTTGTTTTACTTTAATGACAGACAATGAGTTTTCCCTAAGGGGTCAGACACCATATTACTTTTAGCCAGAACTGATCTTTGACAGCTATTTCTAATTTAAGACTGGCCTTTTGGCTGTTAAGCTAAAATTCAATTCTAGGCAGAGTCAACACAAGCATATACATCACTTACGACTCAATTAAGCCTTCAAAAGAGAGTTTACAGAGGATTTAAAGAGTGCATAGTCCTTGTGCTGACCTGTTGTATGAGGAGAGGAAGGAGGAGCCGAGAGGCTAGCTTTCACTGTGCATGTTCTGACAATTTTGTATAAACCTCATGTAATCTGTTAAAATACACTCACCCAGTTCTTCCTCTTCTTTTTCTTTGAATCGCTCTCGATGTTGCTTCCCACACTGGAGTGACTGGTAGCACTGTTAATACTGGAGACACTATCCGAAGAGTGCTGCCTTCGGATCCGCAGGTCTGTGGGTTGAGCAGCTCCAGGTCCTGGATATGAATGGTGGTGTCAAAATTATTTAAGAAATTTGATGTAAGTGTAAATTACTGGGATAAGTAAGAGAAGTGAGATAAGACAGGACTTCATTCAGGCTTTATATTGGAAATTACTGAAAACACCGAAGAAAGTAAAGCCAAGTGCTTGACAGCTGTGAAATGGGGATCTCTGCTCCTTGCTGCTTATTATCAGTGTCTAGATGGGTGAATTACTACATGCTTATAGTAAATTCAGTGAGCTCACACTGAAGGTGGAAAAGCTTTGTTAAAATGCCTTCCCATGTGCCTAACACATTCATTTACTTCTGTAGAACTGACTGCACTACTTACACAGCCATTTCAAATCCCCATATGCTACTATAACAAGTAACTAGAATATGACCATGAGACAAAGCTGATCTTGGATGGTTTCGTCAGCTGCTACCAAGAAGTCTGAAGTCCCATGGGCACTGCACCGTTGCTCAATGTAGTGTTTGTTTCTCACCTTTGCAGTTGAGCTCAGGTGTGTTGATGACTCCATTGATGGCAGCCTGGGCAGCAGCATTTTGCTTCTTCAGTAGTTCAATAGTCTTCCTTAACTCATTCAGTTCTGAGTCCTTGAATAAGAAAAAAAACCCACAGTGATACACTGGAAAATGCAGATGGTATCTAACCGCTCCAAAGAAACCATGTGTCAATCTGAGCACTAGGAATTGATAGACAATTTATGGAATATAAAAGTACAAGGAGATGAAAATGAGGTGTGGTATACCTGGGGAAGCACACCCTCAATAGGTTGATAAATAGCTTTGTTACTGTAATACACAAAGAAAGTACATGCTCTGTAACACAGAAATAATGTATATTCAAGTACACTGTCCAAAAATCCAATGTTGCTTGTCTTGCAACGATTTTTCTTGGTGTTTCTCTTGAACATGCACGTGTGTGGATGCATTGGGAAGAAATTTATTACAAAAGTACACAATACTGAAGACTTGTGTCCAAAGAAATAATTTGTAGCAATAGCCTGATGAGTTGCCACAACATCCCAGTGTGGAAAAACGAGTATTTCATACAAAAATTCTATTACATTTTACTCCATCACTACAATTGAGGAAAGCAAGGTGAACAGCATATGCAATTTCCCCCCCCCCTCCCAACTACTGAAGCAGCATGAGCAACAATACTAGAAACAGAAGTTAAGACTTCCTCAAATAGTTTTCAAGCTTGCCTTTTGTTCTGCGGTCATCGTCAGGCTCTGCAGTCTGATTGTCATGTTCCCCAGGCTCTGCTCAAATGCTGCCACCAGGTGAGCCTGAAAGTTAAACCACACAGAAGTAGTTTGTTCTCTCCCCACCAAACAAGAATATTTCTGCAGGTATTTAAATAGACCACCTACTGCACTGCATTGTTTGTTGTGTAAATGACAGAGAGAAAATAACAGTGATTAGAAAAGGTCACATGAGTAGAGCATATGTTGTGAAAATGTCTGCAAACAAATTACCAGGAACAATTTAATTGTGGAAAATTAGAAATGCCAAAGGTAACAGGCCAATTTCAAAATTTTAGAAAATGACAGTCATTTCATGTACTAGGAGCACACTATGAAATGATGCAGTTTTGGGCTATAAACCATGCCCTGCTCAGCAGCAGCTGCTACCGAATGCTTTAGAAAACACAGAAATAGGAGTAACACCGTGACCTGGCACATCAGTAGGACATTTCCTAGAGGTGGCTCCTCAGTCAGCTGCTACATCTACTTCTTTGATACCATGATTTCAATAGCCAGGACGGTTAACTCAGACATAATCTAACAGAGCAGAAAAGTTGAATTTTTTTTCCAGTTTGGAATTCTCATTTATTCTGTAAAACGTGCAATCCTACGTCCAGGATACATTGAGAACAAACACCTCCTGGGTCCCTGGGATTTAAGGTCCTTTGAAGAGCCACATCTCAAACTAATCCAGTTCATGTACTTTGCTCAGTTGTTTAAAGCTGAATGGATTTTGTGATAAATGGAAAACACATTTTGCAACTTCGTTGAAATAGAAAGACACATTAGATTCCAATTTTATTTTTTTTTTAAACTTCTCAGAGATTAAGTAACTGAGGCTTTTAAAGTATGTTTTAGGGAATACACCTTGTCACTTGAAAGTATTCCCAATACCAAAAAGGCACGGAAGGATCCCTGGCTATGTTCCCAGGATATCACAAGCAATGACATGAAAAGTCCTCCTATCACAAAATGTGGAGAGGAAAAGAAAGCAAATCCATCCATATTTCTAAACATCTCCTGCTGTTCATTTTTTAAATCAGACATATCTTTGACTTCTTATGTGGGCCATTATTAGCATGTATAAGGTTATTCTGTGATAGTTTTCAGTTACCCTCACACATTTAAGGTAACTCTTGACACAAAGTTTTTCACAAAAGGTTTAAATCTTTTCCCAAAGAATATTAAAAAAACCCAAAATGTCACTCCTATGTTTTAGGAGGATACCCTAAAAAGTAAAATAAAATAGAATACAGTAAATAAAATCTAAAGCAAGTATTTAGCTAGAGGAAAGCCAGGCAGACACTTTCCTCCAACTAGATCACTGTTTTCCTTGTGGATATTTAAAGCAAAAAGATGCTGGAAGTCAGAGAGGTGGAGATTCTCACTGTGCTACCCCAACAAGAGAACTCTGAAAGCCCAGACAGTCAGTTCCGGTGAGATACCTCCTCTGCAGAGAAGGACAAGGATGGAGACAGGACTACTGGGGCATCTCAGCCAGCCTGCCAGAGGCTTTATCAGCTGATACACCTGCATCTGTCTCAGAGACTTCTCCAATATTTGAGTGCACCGTGCTTGCAACCAAGGTCCACATACTGATTATCACCCAAAACATCCCGGTGCTTGGCCAGTTACCCTCTTTCCTTTTCCCATGAAGCCCAGAGAACCGAATGTCAATTATATTAAGGACATCAGGTAGGAATTGAAAATGACTGAGAAGCAAAAGGAAGGAAAAGTAGGTTGAGAAGATGGAAAGGAACATGCATTAGCCTTAATAATCTACAATGACCATAGAAAATAATATTTGATTTCTCTATTAAAAAGAATTCTATACACACGGCAAGTAAAATCATGTGAAACCTTTCCAAGCAGAAATGGACATTCTCTCATCTAAATATATACAGAATAGCAAAAATTTTCAGAGAGCTATTCCAGACTTACTCATCAGCAGCATACAGCTGACTTATCCTAAATAACTGTTCTCATATTCGCAGTGAAAACAAACATGAGCAGTACAATAACATGGAGATGTGCATCTCTCATTCCCATCAGCCCCTATGAAAATAAGCAGAGCTGAGACTGTGAGAAAACAGCAAAAAGTAATTTGAACCCTCACCCTACACATGTAAGAAAACCTGAATATTTATTTTAAAAACACAGAGTGCAAAGCTTCTCTTGGGGAGGATGGACAGGGAACAACAAAACTGATATCCAGGAATCCTCAACAATACTTTGCAAAAGCAAAAAAATAAATGGAGAAGTGGGACCACATGGATTAATAATGGGATACAACCCCTAATGCTTTGACCTGAACCTTAAGAAAAAATTGCTAATTCAAAATTGGACTGGGCATCTTGAAATTATTCCTATCTGGAAAGTGTTCAGTGAGCTATGGAAGAGTTATCTTCATTTCCCTGTTGGAGCAAAACCTTTTCAAATTCTTGCCCCTGATGGCCTGAGAAGCATAAAAACTGCAATGCCTATACTGGGAAATTCAGGAAAATTTAATATATTGCATGAAGAGATGAATTAAAATTTCCTAAGTTAAAAGCATTTTATTAAAAAAAATGTGTGTAAAGGAAATGTCCATGAAGCAGTGTCTTAACAAACAGTGTCTATTAGTCTTAGCTTTTTTGAGAACAGATCTGGACTTTTACAAGGAAAAAGAGGATGTTCTCTGAAAAGAGGTGGCTAGAGACTGAAATATATTACTAGGACAGTTACAGCAACATCTCTGCAGCTGACTGTTGCTGATTTAAGGACAAATAAGGGGCAGGCCCCAGTATAAGAAGTTTAAATATCACGAATAAAAAAACCTACAGAATTTTAGCAAAGTGACTGAAACAAAAATGGAATATTATCAAAATAATAAATGATGCTAACTTTTTTGGGGGAACACACTCCCCCCTAAACTAAAACCACAAAGAACAAATTACTCCAAACCAAACAAAAATGTAGAGCAGCAGCATATGTTAAAAACTATTTTCTTCAAAGACAGTGGTACTAACCACACAAATTCTTGGGCAAATTATGGCAGCTGGGGCAGGCACAGAGTAGCCTGTACTGCTCGGTACTTTCGGGGACAGGCTACTAACTCCTGTGTTGAGTAACAGCCTACTGAATCTGAACGCCACATGAAGAATGCAACACATCTAAGGCAGAGCGAGATGAGTCGCACAGCTAACAAGTTCTTTGAAGGACACAAGCTGCGTTATTTAACAACATGATAAAAAAATGTATGCAAGAGAGTCTGGTCCTGCTTTCTCAGATGTGAAAGAAGCTTCTGGATGAAAACCAACTGATGCATCCAGTCCCCTTTGTTTTTGAAAGGCAAACGTAAGATTTAATTTTTGGAAAAATTTAAAAATTTTTTCTTTTCCTCTTGGGAAAGTGACTGAGTGGTTACATGTAGTCAAAACCTTTTTATTTCACTTCGCTGCTAACTGTATTCTTGGTTTCCCTTTTCCATTTTGCAAGCTGGATGAAGCACTGTGATGCCTCCAGTGAACATCACAGTAGATTTCCCCTTGAATCCTCCTTGTAATAGGTGTTACTGCTCAGATGAAAGCTGTCCTTTCCTGTGCCAAGTTTCATATTCCACCTATTCAGAGAGCTGACGGACAGGAATGTCCTCTTCAGTAGCATGTGTTCTGATGTTTATTCACTCCCACAAACTAGGATGTCAGTATGATCTGATCTGATGACTCTTCATCTGTAGCTTATTTACTCTAGAACTGCTTATTTTTCTAGCAAGCTTCTGTTTTGGAGATTTCTGCTATCTGTGACTACAGCACAGAACACACAAGTAAACTTGCTCAGGGTCATACATAGTGTTGCCTCAACACCTTCTGGCTTCCAAGTCTTTTTTTTTCCAAGTGTCTTACATCACTTATTTATCAAATTCCTCAGAAGAAACAAGTAGAAGTATTGCCTACATTGGTTAAACTCTGTAGGCATAATGTTAAATTTATTGTTGGAGCCCCTTATGTCACTATTATCTATCATGCCATTAGCCCACATCACCATGCAACAGCAAAATATAATGCATTTCAATCCATGTTTCTACTAATTTTTATTCCTACCAATCATAACCTCCATCTGTATCTCATCCCACCGAAATGTCAAAGCAAGTCACTATTTACAAAAAATGGCCCTGTTTTCAATTATTTTCTCAAGATCTGGAGATAGTTTACGTATATATAAAGCCAAAAGCGTATTATAATTTAGTATGTAAAGTAAAGCATAACACAATTCAGTAGGACAGAGGACGTTATTTTTTAAAAGGTCCCCACATGCATGCAGTTATTTTTTTAAACACATTGGTAACGTGAACCAAATGTTATGCACCTTAAAATCTTTTTGTCACTTAGAAAAAAATAGGGTGGTAATTGGTGCATTAAATGCATTTCCTGTGAGTGTTTATTCTCAGAATTGTACTCACATTGGCAGTCAACTGAGTTGTCAGAGCTGACACTTTTTCTTGGGATGCATCCAACTCTCTTCGTAGCTTGCGAATCTATATATTTTAAGACAGTGTTTTACTGCACCATAATATGGAGAAATAAAATAGCAAGACACAAAACACAGAATGTGTTGAAAGAACATTTATGCCTGTCACACGATGTGCTCTTACCTCTGACTGGCACTTCTCTTCAGGCTATAAAATAAAAATAGAGGAAAATACATGAGGATATTACAACATAATCAGTCTGATAAATTTATCAAATTTTTCAAAATTTTTTTTTCCATTTCAAAAACTCCAATGAATTCCAGTGAATTCCCTACCTTGGATTCCCACTTCCATATTCAATCTAAAATAATCTCTTAATTTATTTATTCTTCAGAAAAAAAGAAAGCAGTCTGCTTGTACAGTACTTCTTCCTGCAGGAAGGGATTTGGGCTCCACTTCCCAGCCTGCTGACCAGCACACCTCGGAGTCTGAGCACTGGGAGGGTGAAGTCCTGGATCTGTGCATGAGGGACTGCATAAGGCTCTAATGAGCCAGGACTGCCACAGAACACGGCTGATTCTGGGCAACTCCCTTCCTCCCATGCTCTGCTCTCCATGGGAAGGAGATCACATTTTTGCATTTCAAAGTGATGTGGAAAAAAAAAAAAAATTGTTCCCACTTGAGCGCTGTCACTGTGGTGATGAAAAACTGAGGACACACAACTAGTTATCTGAGGATGCGAAGTGGATGCATTGACCATCCATTGTGGTCTGCATGATGAAACTGTGGCTCCTATGGCTTGCTTCTAACCAAAGTTATCAGCTAAAGAGAAGGATATGGTAGGAAGTTACACACTCCACTGTCCTTATGTAAACATGTCCACTACTAGCCACCATGAAAATTATACCCATCAAACCACACTATTAAGAGATGCTTGTGCTTGGGCAACAAGTACATAAATTAGAAGCTCAGAGGACTCAGGGTTATAAACTACAGCCCACAGGAAAAGGTCTGTTCTCCATCTTTCCAATATGTTATCTGTTTTGGCTTCATATGGACCTTGCCTGAGGCAAAGTCAATAAAGGCAGCATTTTCAATTTATTATCAAGGTTTTAAGGCCATGTCACATGTGTAGTCTCCTAACATGTAAAATCATGCTAAAGAACACTATGCTGGCTTGACAGACTTCACAGACAGTTATACATGATCTTCCAACAGCAAGTTCTTCCACGTACTCTTGTATCACATGATTGTTTCAGCCATGGATGTGGTAAGTGTGCAGCTGCATCATACTTGCATAACAATTTGAAATTGAAGATCGTATTTCAGAAGTAATTATTATCCACTGTTTTTTAAAAGGGTTGTTCTTTAAGAAATCCCCAGACTGTGCCCACAGTATGCCAGGAATACATATGATCTATACTATACCTTTAATCTGGCTAGCTGGGATATTAACAGCAGTGAAGCCACTGGGAATTAACCACCAGTGCCAAATACTTCTGTACAGTCTTGTACGGGCTGAAACCTGTGGTGCCCCTGGGTCACTGCCGTTAACACCCCAACCATCTAGAGAAAAACTAGGCAGGACAGGTCTGCGATACAAGGCTGGAATGACTTTGTTCAGCAAACGTTGGAGTGTTTTAGGTAGTGAAGTTCAAATCTCCTCAGATCTGCTGAGGTCCTTCGTAGCAAAACTTATTTAGCCTTGCTGTAAAATATTGACTTAAAAAAGAAATTGCTGCTTTCAGGCCATTAACGTCTGTGTTTAATGAGGATAAATATCCACAGACATCATTATGAACATAAACATTTCTTTCATAGCTAGCATTCAGAACACAATCAAGTGAAAAGCGCTTTTTTTCCCCTCCTCCTTGACTGGCAAAAATAATTAGTACAATAAGACCAGTCATTTCAATAATTTTGATTAGCAAATCCTAATTGTTCATTTTTTTATACTCACTGTTGAATAAATGGATGATGTACTGGACACCAAAGAGAGAGAAGAACCATGCACTAAAGGAAAGAAAATAAACACAATGAATTTAAATACAGTAACCACACAGTGGAATCATCACAGATCATCCTCTGTCAACTACCAGCCTACTGAAGAAATACTTTTATGAATTTCATCATCCATCATAAACTTAACTATATTACTGCACCAATAACGTACAAGTTTGAAGAATGCATGGCCAGGTAGTACACTCCATCAATTTTGATTTGGTAAAGCTGTTTTAACAACTTAATAATACTTGGTTTTTGGGGGAATGAGGTGTGGCCAAGAAGATTAAAAAGAAAAGTTTCAATGAAGATTTGTTCAGAAATGAGTATTTCTCTGGACAGCTTATCTTAAGACTCTTGCAAAAGGGCTTAATCAGCAGTAAAACAGCTGAAATGCAGAAGAGATTACAACAGTAAATCTAACTGCTTCATCTTCAGTTTTAGATGAGATTGAGGGGCCAGGTTGTTTTCTTTAAGCAGCAGACCAAGATGGAGATGTCCTAAGACCAAGATACCCAGCTCTGGTATGTAACCAGATGCTCCAGGAGAAGACGTGAAGCACCCAGGGCAGAAACCATTCTGGGGCTCTGAATGCTCCTCTGAATGCCGCTGTATCTGCCTTCTGCTGACTACAAGGGAGCAGTATCATGTGCACCCATGAGCTGAACATTCCCTATCCCTGCAGGGCTTTTTGGTCTTTCTTTAAAGTTATGACATTTCTTTAACAAGGCCCAGTTCTTTCTCTCATCAAAAAATTACCTGAGTAAAAACATGGCTATAAAACCTTTTATGGAAAAGAATATGTTTCAAGCATTTTTTGCATTTAAATACACATTTCGTAAAAGATACACACATACATTGATTCTCAAGATTGTTACCATCATCCCGGTGTTAGAACTTACGTCTAACATAATTTTATTTTTGATTATCCTATTAAAAAAACTACCTGAAGCTATATTCTTTCTGCTACTGAAAAATGCAAAATTATCTTTCCTTTATTTTTAGAAACAAAATCCATTTAACTGCAACTTTCACTCAAACTTCAGGTAACTTTATAAAAAATCATATAAAATTGTGCTAAATCACTCTTCTTCCCCCATCTAAATCCTCCAGTCAAAAAAAAGAAAGTTTAGAAAACCTGCCATTTCACTCTAATTACCTACTGCAATTCTCCTACATTCACAATAAATGGGCTTTGCTTTCCCATTGACATTATATCCTAAGGCAAGGCTGGAAAGAGAAGTAAACAAAGTCTAAGTTGGCTTCTGGAAGAATTTAAGACAATTTAAAAAAACCACAAGAAAGTAAAAAATACTCACACCCATTTGCTTTTTCTGGTTAATCATATTTTCAATTAAAATGATCTTTATAGTTAGATGTTGAGGACTGTACTGCATTAGGAACATAAAAATAACCAGTGTGAATCAGACCCAGGGTCTGTCTAACCATGTGCTCCATCTCTGGCTGCAACCACAGTGCACGTTTAGGGAAACGAATTCAAGAGGTAAATACCCAGTGATTTTTTCCCCAGGTACAGCTTTGCACCGTCTGGGAATCAACAGAGGTGGAAATTCCTGAGATGGAAACTGCAGTCAGACCTAATATTATTTTTCAGTCACTGTGACCTCTCTATCATTAACTTGCTTAATTGCTTTTGAATCTACTGACACATTTTGTCTGTAACAAAAAACTCTTCTTGTGTTTAGCAGTAGAATTCTTTGCAGTTGTTTTCGACCTGCTGCTGAATCAGTCAATAAGTTCCCTGAGTGCTTCTACACCCCTGTATTATGAGAATTAATGGACAACTGACCTCTTTATAATACACTAAATTGTGTATTATCACCTCCCTTCAGTCGTCATTTTTCCAAGCTGAGAATTCCTAATCTATTTTAACTCTCTTCATATCATAGATGCTATGCACTTAAGATCTTCTCACTTTTCTTTTTACCTGCATTTTACCCTTATGACCTCCTTTTTCAAGATGGAAAGGCCAAAGCAAAGGCACTATTGCACAAGGCCACCAACAGACTCATACAAAGAGTACAATATTATTTTCTGGTTTGACTCTCTATATTCTTCCTTTGTGCAGTTTTTACTAATGGAGATGTATTCAAAAAAGCAACCATACCAAGTGGCCAGAGGAGAAACAGATCTCCTTACAATGGATTGGGACATGCACATTTTTGAGTTAGCATCAACTGGAATTTTTAAGATCACATTGGGACTTTAAAGGAAGAAAGAAGACTCAAAATAAAAAAAGGGAAAGAACATGTAACTTTGGGAATCATATTCCTGGCCTTGTAAAACATCACTACTGCATCATTTGAATGTGTACATAATTTGCGATTTCTAGTTTCAAGGACAACTAAAGAGTTAATATTTTTTGCGCAATTTCTTTTTAAAGTATCTGCAGATGGCTACTTTAAGGCTATTTAATTAGGAGCCTGAAGGCTGTTATGCTCTTGATGTGATTCCTGTTTTTTGCAGTTAACATGCATCTGCACGTAGGCTACAAATCCAAATTGTTTTGGAGCTATTATTTTAAAGCATTACAAACACATATGCAAGCATGTATCATTTTTAATGCTAGAAAAGAAACGGTCTAGCTCTGATCAACTGCCCAAAGAGTAGGAAGAACAACAGGTATTGCAGTCAGTAGCACAAAAAGGAATAAAAATGTATAATCCAACCACAATTAATTTAATTCCTTTCTCCCTAGGAGGTTGAAGTATCAGGGTGGAGCCAGCAGCAGCACAGCTCCTGGGGCGGACTGGTGGCCAGGGGAGTGAGCAAATCGTATAGCCAAGAGACCTCTTCAGTTTTAGGCTGTGTTTTTTTCCCTGAAGTTCTGGCTAGTTTGGAGGCTGTTCCTGTTGGCACCTCTCCAGTCCTAAAACCCTTCCTACCAAAAGAATTCTGCAAGGCTGACTAACATTTCAACCTACATGCTGTGAAGTGAGAGAACATGACTGTACTTCACAGTGTGGAGATAAAAGGAAAAAAGGCTTTAAAGAATAATTCCTGGCCCTGACGGAATTAGTAAGAACTAAATGTCTTGTAATCTTATGTGCTAATAAAAAATTAAGCAGTAGATTGGTAAGCTTTATTTAACACCTGGATTTATGCGTCACTGACACTGGCTGATTGTATAAAATCAATTTGTTTGTTAACCACAAATTTAATTTCTATAATACTTTTTGATCTATTCTCTCAAGGTAAGGGTGAACGATGTATTCCTATTTTTCATCCTATTCTCTCATTCTGTGAAAGTGAATTAGATCCACGTGAAAGTGAATTAGATCCACAGTTTTGAAAGCACAGGTCAACATATATGCCATATTCAGAACCACTTGCTCACTTGTAACTTGTGATTCCCTGAGAAATAAGCAGGACCTAATAAGCAGGCTATCCCTGCCTTCTGTAGGGCCAGAAGTGACAGAAGGCCTTTAACCTGAAGACAAAAATACGGAGACTGCACCTAAACATTCACCCCATCTGGTGAAATATTATTATCCTTCTAGGCGCCAAAAATTTTGGAAAATCACAAAAGAACATCTTCATTATGTCCACTGTATGGTCAAATTACTTCCTCATATACAAAAGTGATCTTTTTCCGATGCTGTCAAGTCCACAACTTGGTAGAGTTTTCTTGGACTTCATTTTTATTACTTTTTTTTAAATGAATGAAAAGCACTTTGTAGAACATTTCACCTAACTCTTCCCTTTTTCCCTTTTTTTTTTTTTTTTTTTTTAAATGGTTCATTGTGAAACATATAATACTTATCAAATATTCTTCCAAACTAGGCTCTCTCCTGGACAAGAATTTCTGAATTATAAGAGATAGCTTAACCTCCAACATGCCAAAATGGATTTGCTAGAATCTTAAGCACACTTAAAAGACCAAGGTTACAATTTTTTTGAGGATGTCTTCAATAAAGCCTGAGTAAGTTTTGCTGGAGTAGCTCTTTCAATAAATCCAAGTGTAACACAGATGTAGTGATTTAAATTCCTTCATAGATTATATATCAGGGGAGGCTTTAGTAAGTACAGGACTGTTCATCACAGAATGGAATTCAACTGACTAACTATCCAGCAATCTCTGACTGCTCATGATCATCTAGCTTTCTGAGAGCACAGCACAAACAAAGGTTAATTCCTGTAACAACACAGTTTTCAGCCCTACAGCATTATTCTAATAGCTTTCAAGCCCTAATGAAGATCCTCAACCATGGGCCTCTAAAACACAATTAGATGTAATGGAGTTAACATTGGCAAAATTCAGTAAGGAATTATTCCTGAATCTTTCCGGAGCCATATCCAGTACTCATTTTCTACCTCTTCCAATGGCAGAAAACTGATGGGAGAACCGGTATCTTCAGGAAGGCACCCTGCAGCTCTTAAAGGCCCCTGCAAGCACTCTCGTGTGGCCCCCACACATGACTTGTTCTAGGGGAGCAGCAACAACAGGGCACCAGTATCAACACTGCTGAATAAATGCAGGTCTTCAGTAGTGGAGGAAGCAAGCCAGCAAAAGTGTGTGTGACCCGTAGCGAGAAAGTACTTAAAGCCAGCCAAGCTCCTCATCCTTGCCAGAAAGGAGATTTAAGACTCAAAGAGCGAATGCTGAAAGAGCTTCCTATGACCTTCCTGACCAGTCCCAGAGCTCACCCCACACTTGACTTCTCAAAGTGCATCAGTTGAGGGTCTTAACCCGTGCTCATAGCTACTCCTGCTACAGACATAAGGTCACTTGATCAGTAACAATCAAACGAAATATTTATTTTTAAGGTAAATGACTTTTTCTTCTCATATTTACATGGGCTTCTTTTATCAGGTATGATTACATATTTTAAAAGACAACAAGGAATTAAAAAGAGGAGCCTAGATGTTTTGAAGAACTACTCAGGTCCTTTCCTTCTGTGGAAGCTGTGTGATATCAACCCAGGACATTCAGCAGAAAGAAAAAGTAAAGACCATTTGAATACAAATTAAATACTGGAAAAATTAAATGGGATACAAACAGAAGTCTGGCTGATATAAATTATTTATACTACAAAAAGAAGTGTGGAGGCCCAGGTTCAAGAGGATAGTCCTATTCAAAGAAACACTTTAATATGCTAAATCTAAGCATGAACTAGAGTCATTTTGAGATTACTAAAAATGAAGCACAGGATGTATTTAAACAATTTATTGAACAGTGATGGTCTAGGCAGAACACTTAGAAGATGTTTAAAGTCCAGCCAGAAGGATCCATGAATGATATTCATCAGAGCAACAATAACTAGGACTAAAGTTTTATTTAACACTGAGTGCTCCCAGAGAGAACACTGTGCTCCAAAATGACCCCTATGCTGAACTGAAAAGCACCAAATTTAAACTTGGTTTATGTGAGAATTCCATCTCTGATAATTTCCAGCACCATCACATACTTCACTGACCTTCTTCAAAGCCATCACGGAAAGAGCCAGACCGGCTCATTGTTCTGCTTTTCTCATCCAGGGACATGGAGCTGTTCCTGAAGCGCGTATCGCTATAGGGGTCATAAGGACCATCCGCATTGGAAAGGCTGTGGGTCCGTAGCATGGTTGGATTTGACAGGCTCATCTGGGCTGCGGTGGTTGGGCTTGCTATGAAGTGAAGAATAAACACCAATTTATTTGCATGACCACAAATTTTAATACCTAATTTTTGTTAAACAACTAATAAACTTTTTTTTTTCTTTAAGACACAAATTTTTTATGTCATCCTCTCTAGACTTCATTATTTTTCTAAATTCAATGAATTCAAATAAGAGGTATACAAATCAAGCTAGTGAAATAAGCAAACTCAAGTAAATAAGGTCATTTTTAAACACTGGGTGATATGTCTATGCTTCTACAGACAAGCTCAGTCAAGTCACTAACACCTTGTAGGCACAAACTAATTAACCATCATTTAAGTTGGCACAGTCCCCTTCCTCAAAAACGACTAAAATGCCTGAAGGAATTTAAGCTAGTATTTGCCTATATGGAAGAGGCCTGATGACCTATCTCCTTCAAAGACTTCAAGTTCTCAAAAAAATGATATTTTTCTAAGTATTTAAGTCACATATTTTAAGAGATTTAGTTTCCTAATAGTTCTTTCTTTCAGACTTGTTTCTTTCTACTATAAGGCCCTAAGCCTTACGAAATATCAATTTTGCCTTAAAACCCAATAGTCTCTCAACCAGTGTCTAGAGTACAAAACGTCTACTCCAGTTTCACATTTTTCTAAAGAACTTTTGTGATAAAACTATACCTGCTATTTACTAACAACTAGTTGATCTGTGCAAAAAAGAGAACAAAATTGCTGTTCAACAGGTAGGTTCCTCTTGGTGTGCTGTCATTGCCTGTTGCTATATACACCATCAACTGATACAGACTATTGTAGAAGATACAATAATTCAGTTTAAAGGTGCTCAACTTCCATATCAACATTTGCTATTAAATTCAACACAGTGACCTCTCTTGACTCCAGTATCTCCAAGCTCTTTTTTTAAGAATTGGTTAATTGCTTATGGCCAAATAGCTTTTGAAGCTTATTAATGTAAATAATCTTCAATATTCTCCACAAAGACTTACTAATTTCTGTGTCTAAGACTACGCTTACTTTTTTTTTTTTTTTACCATTAAGGTACTTCCATGAACTTTCATGACAGTTTGTTACCTCTTGGCAATGTAATTACACTGTGTCTGTATTCAGCTGAAATTCTGTTCAGTGTCAGTTTATTTAAAGCTGTTTATTTAATCTGTTTCTTTTCAGTGCACTTAAAGAAAAGCTCTAAAACGTCACTGTTGCAACTAAAAATGCACTAGAAATAAGTGACCACGTAAGCTGCTGCAAATTCACACAACACTAAGAGTTCACAAGTATAGGCTTAACTATTTTGCATATTATTTCTTTATTGTTCTAGAAAAGATGGAAGTGCTTCTGAAGGTCAAAAAGAAACAGATAATGTCTGTTTGACATAGTACTTTCCAATTGCAGAGGCAATTTGGGAATATTTAATCAGCACACCAGAGACAAGTACGACTAGCACTTCAAATTATTTCAACTGCTGATACGGTCAACTAAAATCTGCAATGCTTTATGGATCTTGTCAATCAACTTTTATTGTTTCCTTCATTTATAATGTGTTTACTTCTATCAATGTAATTAAGTGAAGGAACGAAGTATTTTCCTGACTTAGAGTTCTTCTGACTTCTATATATTATTTCATATTGAGATTTATGCAATTTTCCAACAAGCCTCCTGAAAAATACATACGAAGACAAAATACCTTAAAAACTGATGAGACTGGCACATATATTAAGTAATATGCTTGGATTTTAAAGCAATGTTACTAAACAGTTAGGCAACATCTTAAGTCCTTTAAATACAGCAATGTGTGATATTAACAAATAGCTCTACTGAATAGCTCATAATTTATATTAAGGCATCTGATTACTCCCAGAGAAGTATTTTCAAAGAGTTACTGCAAGTATGCCACCTTTGGGCATACGAGATAATAATGCTAATTAGTCACACTCATTTCTATGAAAGTGCTTCCTGATGAATGAGAGACTCAGAGCTGCTGAAAGAAAATTATATGGTGTAATATCCTATTTTCAAGACACACAATGTATTGCTATGATTATTCAAGCAGATAATTATTCACCAAGCTGTGAGAAGTTAAATCTAGTTCCAGAGGGTGATGTTATGCTGGATCCAGATGAAAATGGAGAATTGCCAGCAGTATCCTGAAGTCCTCCTGCTGAATGGGATCGTAGCCATTCTTTTGCATCTTCTTGATTACGGAGTTGGGAGGATGGAGTATACCTGCAAAACCACAGTTTTTTCAAAATGAACTTTGACATTTATTTAAAATATAAAAAAAAAACAACCATGAAATGTCACAAAACTTGGGGAGGAAGAGAGGGAAAGAAAGATGGAAGAACCCTCATATGGAATTTAAGGATTACACGATATAAACCCAATACAATTCTCAATTAGGGAGCTGCTCAAAGCTGTTCTAAGCTGTTCCTAATTAATTCTACCTCTGGGAAAAAAACTCCACAAACTCCTTTCCTACAGCTTCAGTAGTAACCAAACTAGTAGTGAACAAAAAGTTAGAAATGGAAGTTGTGCACTGAAGCATTTTAGAATAAAATATAGTATTACATATGTATGATTTAAAAACAGAACCATAACTTGGAAAAACATTCCTTAGATTACACCAAAAATCTATCACTATTTTAATATTTTGGTGCATCACTAAGTTTAGCTGGCTTTTTGACATATTATAACCAAATTCAAGTCAACAAAACCATTATCAGATTTTTCAAGAAGTTGTGACCCAATAATTCGTATTCGAGAGACATTAATATAAAGGCCTATGGACGTGTATCCCATTTAGTTCAAAACTAATAGCATTAGATAATAATAAAGGAGACTATGGTTAGCCTTTTTTGAAGGCAAAGAAAATAGCAGAAACATTGTCTATGCCAACATCAACGACAAAACACCCCCTGGCTTCAGCTTAAGCAAAGTTTTACATCTGCTTCTGTATATGCCTGAAAAATAGGTATGTTACCACAGGTGTTATGTGAAATATGTGATAGGGTACAGGTATCAACAGAAAAAGCATCACGAAAATACTTCTCTGCTGATGGATTTCAGTGTCTGTCTTATGCTATGCCACCTCCTTTTGAGAAATATTTATGAGCTACTTGCTTTCCTTCCAAAAACTAAACACTTGGAACCTATTATTAGTCAATATTATCTATTTAATTAATCAGATTCCCTCTAACTAAATACACTACAGTAAGATATCACTTATTAACACTATTGTAAATCAGTGTGACCACTACAATAATTAACATTGCAAAAACTCAAACTACTTTCAAAAAATACATTCATTCTTCTGCTTATGCCTCAACACTTAAGCAACAGTACCTGACTATCAGCATCTCTTAAACTTTGATATATATCAGTTTATTAAGAAAGGGACTTTAAATAGTCATTTTACTTTAACACACTATGGATTTTTTCTTTTGAGCATTAATACCTACCTCTTCAGCAGTCAAATGTTTCGATCTTAAAAGAGAGTCTTTATTTATTAAGAGACATACTTGAGAACCACAGAAACATTTTATACAAAATGCCATTTTAAGAAAGGCTTTTAGGACTCGGCTTCATGGGACAAAGCTGCTGTGAAGAACAATGTGTATAGCACAGAACAAATTGCAGCTGCAATTTCAAGTCATCAACTCAAGTGATCCTAGAAGCTGCAGTAAGTAATTCTGAAGCTGCAATTTTCTACACTGTCTAAGGTATCTTCTGTAAATTCTGTAACACTTAAAGTATTTAATTAATACACCTAATGTTGATTATCTTGCTAGAATTTCTTGTATCAATGGAAAAATCTTTTTTGGTGCAGCTTTTTGATATCATAAAAAATCACGACCTTAAAGATATACAGTATGTATGAGAATACAATTAACAAAAGTTTGTTTGGGGATTTTTTTGCTCTTTTTTAGAAGAGTAAAAGTTATCTCAAAGAGCCCTATATATTTATGCATTCTGAAGCAAATATTTTTTTTAAAATGAATATATCCAATCTCATCCTAAAATGCTTGGCATGATATTGAAAATATTTTCTCTATGTATATCAACACCAAGGTTCCCGGGGTGAAAATCATCTCAAGTCATTCCATGTAATAGCCATAGCAGCTGCAAAATCATTGTTTTAAAGTCAAGCCCAGTCATGGTTTATGAGATGCTTTTCAGCAATTCAGCCAGCAAAAGCCACAGTTCTTGCTCAAGCAGATAAGCCACTGGATGAAAAAAAAGCACAGTGGTCAATGGCCTTCTTTGAGGATTAAAGAAAGAAAGAAAGGAAGAAAGAGACAATATTGTTGCCACCTCTTGCAAAATGCGACCATCACCACCAGCCACAACAGAAACACAAAGCAAACTCCAAAGCCACAACAAAAGCTGTTAAACCGTGTGGAAACACCAATACCTGAGTCCCTTCTTAGGCAAAGTGTTCCTATCAAGATGTGGGTCGCTGCAGAAAAGTTAAAAGAAAAGAACTTCAGAGAAGAACAAAAGGGAAGGAATAAGATCAGGATGAAGGACATACAAACATCTGCATCACCTTTTCAGAGGAAAAGGTGCTGGGGCCTTCCTACAGAAACATGCAAAAACCTCCTTACCCAGGTGTGGATTTGCACAAACATGCATCTGGTACCATGCCAATGAATCTCATCCGTTCACAACGTGATTTTGCTATTTCTCCTACCCACGATGAACAAAACCAGCTCTTTAAATGTCAAATGGATGCTTAAAAATAAGCTTTTCAGCAGGCGTGAGGCAGATTATTTGTGAAAACTGATGAGAATCTTCAAGTCCAAACCACCTTCCCATCACTTCTTTCAGCAGACACCATTTGGGGAATGCAGCTAATTACTGTTACGCAGCTGCAATGTATAGCAGTAGAAGTATTGAGCCCAGACTATTTAAATGTTCAAATCTTATCTTAAATTCTATTAACGAAGTAAAATGAATCTATTAGTCATCCAAAATTCAATTATTTAAGTTTATGTTTTTACAACTGATGAACTTGTGACGAAGCAGAGTCTGTTAATTTGTTTTTAAAGAAAATATCCACATGCTTAAATTAATTAGTGACAGTCCTTATAGGTAAATTACAGCGTAGGAGTGATTAAAATTACAACAGTGAGCAAAAGTGAACTAGGATGTTCAAAATCAGCTCATCCTTTCCTAACTTTAGCATTCGTCTTTACAAGGATGGATGTAACCAAGTCCCTGCAAAACACTTATGAGCCAAACTGCAATAAAAGACTTATAACACTGAATGACACAGGGACTTCACAACAAAAAGGACAGGCCTGGAACGCAGTGGGAAAAGCAGCATGCCAGAGGAATGCTGAAATGCTAGTGAGAGTTTAGATTGGTAGAAAAAAAAAATGGCAAGGATTTTCAAATTGCCTTTGGCAAAGAAATGAGGGGGAAAAAAAATACCAAAAGATGTTCCCAGTAACAAGCGCAACACCAGAACCATGCCAACTCTGCCGTATGCCATTCTCCAGATTGATTTAGGTAGATAGATGGGGTGTTTGAGGAGACTCTCACTGGCATGTCTTTGTGTCAGTTCACACCTGAACAATGAACACAGCTGAGGACTCAACTGAGCACAGTCTGTCACAAAACAATTTGCTTCACTGAGATGGGCAACAAAACCTACAGCCTTGTGCGTACTCCTGTCCTGAGACAGCATTACCTGTCCTGCCTCCTGGGCAAAGTATTTCGGCAGAATTTGGGGCTAGCAGCAGGGGAAGAAAGAGGGCTAGAAAAATCAGTCCAACAAGACAGAAAACAAGAGAAGGAATATTAGAATGAAACGAGGAGAGAACAGAAAGGAGAGTTATAATAAAACACAAATAGAAACCCAAACTGTCAGAACATTGTATTCAGTAATTTTCTCCATTGAGATGCAACTACAGAAGTTTTGCTACCTGACTACACAATTACACATCAGGATATAGCTGATTTCCAATGCTTGCAGGGGTATTACTGCCTTCTACAAAAGCTCACTAAGAGAGCATGCACAGCAAGTCATTGTCTGATTTATGCTGATGTTAGCTCAATGTGCTGTTAATACAGCTCTGATGCTGAAAAAGCAGTCCCATTCCCTCCTCCCTGCTCAGTCTGTTCCCAGCTCCTACACTGTGTCCACACAGATACCGATGAATCTCATCATGTAAGGAGCTGGGGAACTGATCAGTTTGAAATACAATTCAGGTGATCATTTTTCAGTTGTATCCATCTCCCAGTTGGGTTCATGAAGCATTCACACGAATGCCTGTAACCGAAACACTGTAGGGAGCAGCTGGAGATGGGGCAGGGCAGCAGGGAGAGGCTGAGAAGGGATCAAGTGACTAGGGAAACAGGGACTTCTCTTTTCAGCATGACCTCCAGCTTAAAAGCTTGTCAAATGTTACAGACAAGGACTATAACAAGAAACAGTTGGCTTCTCAAATCAAAATGGTAACAATCCTGGAGGTTTTTGAATATCAATATCACATTAACTTTGGAAGGATAGTATATGATGCAAAATTCAAATATTGGGTAGTAGCAAAGACAAATTGCCACATTGGCTACCACAGAAAATTGAAAACCTCACCTGAACCCATCCTCTTGCTCTGAACTAGGCTCCTTGCCTGGAATGGCTTCTTTGTATGTTCTAGTAATACCATTCAGTATTATCTTGTAAGAAGCACAGTTTGATTTGCATCTGCAGTATTGACTACTGCTGCCAAGCCTTCATTCACATTTAAGGCGCATAAAAGCTTAATGGAAATGAGAAAAAAAGCTACTAACCTTTCAGACAATGTAGTCTTAACACTGTTGGTTCGGACAAAGGGAGTCAGAGAATCATCTTTAGAGGCTGGAATCAAGCCAGTGGAGGAGTTATGGCTCAGCCCGCCTCCACTGCTCAGAGAGATATCAATGGATTCACAGCTGGTGTGAAGGCTGCTGACAGACTGATATCCAATGCCATCCTTGCTAACAGCAGAAGAGCTACTTGCGTTGGTACCCCACGTTAAGCTGTTGGATGGAGCTGAATGTGCTGAACTGGGACTAGAAGCTAGTGGAGATTGGTTCATATCTGTGTTTTTACTATACAGAGGACTGCTGCCCCCACTGCTCAGCACACCACTGCCAGATGGTGAATCAAGATTACCCTGCTGGTTCATAGTAGCATGAGGATTGGAGATGACTACTGAATTTTTCATATTTTCAGCTGTTGTGATGGGAACTTGTTTACTAGGCTTGCCACCGAAAAGTCTGTAAAAAAAGACAACACGCAAAATACATAAAATGGAATTTTAAATGCAAGGATATTTTATATCTAAACCATGTATCTTTTTAGCTTCAGAAAACCAACATTAATTAAATGATCCTAGATTGGACATATGCAACTACAAATTTATGAATCTCCTTGTGTTCACTCTACCTTCAATAAAGCCCAGAGACAATTACAATAGCTTCAAACCCATCTTAGGTGTGTCTTCTCTGAATCATCAAGTACTACTTTCACAAAGATAAAACACAGCTTCACGGAACTAAAATACAGCCATATTGTCTTCTGCTCCTTAAGGAAAAAGAGAACACCAGAGAAACACTGCACTGCTTAATCTGAAGCATGGAATTTTTGAGCTTGAAAGCTTCCTGTCCGGGTAAATTCTGTGCAAATCACCAAATTCTCTGCACAGAGGCAGCACTTGCTGGGATGTAACAGGAAAAATATTTACTGGTATCAAAGCATGGCTGGAGGATGACAACTGCAGCATCTCCAGTTGCATCACTGTTGTCTATGACACAGCTGCACTGCCAATGAAGAGCCCCCAGTTCCCTCATTAACAAACAATGGGAAAATTCTCAGAAGTGCAGAAGTGTCTTGTAAGTAGACATGCTCACGACTAGATCATCAATCATTCTAAAACTGATCCTCAAAATTATGAAGGAAGCATATCTTTCAACTCTAGCTTCAAATATCCACCCCAGAATGTTGCTTCTGTTTCTGCCACTTAGATCCTGTATTGCCTTTGGAAACTTAGTGTTCCTCACACATACCTATGCAGATTTGCTTTTTTATTATCAACAGTATGGAGTATTGAAGATGAAATCTTTCCAACTGGGTACCTATCAGACTGTAGTCCTCAGTGTAGAGGACTACAGAACTTCTACACAAGAGCTCCTAAAGACTTATGGGGGATAGGCACTGAGCAGAACTCTCTGCTTTTGAGTATGCCCCGGTTGTCTGTACAACACATGCACACTAAGTCACTTTGTCCAACACTTCCCAGAACGCAGGCTGTGTAGGATAGATGGGTACCCTACAGCACACACGCAGTAAGCCCAGTGATGCCCAGAAGCACTGTACTTACTGCACAGGTGCTACCTGCAGCTCCAGTGTACCTGCACAAGATGCCTGGAACACATCTCAACTGGGTGGCTGCTGTGGCATACTTTCCACAAAGCACCTGGACAACACTGCTGGATCAGGCTAAGATGCCCATCTCCAGATACCTCCTAATCCAGCATTGCTCTGTGCCATGATCCTCTCAGCACCCGATGTAGACAGACATTCACAAACCAGCACAGACCTGGCACACTTGGTGCACTTGGACACCACACCTCACCGATTATGAGACATTGACTTAGACAAGTCAGTCTGAATGATAAAACTAATTTCTACAAGGAGTCAGAGATACTTAGAGTCTAGGTTCTATTTAGAGTTAATGTTATTAAAGCAAATATGAAGAAAAATGCCAAACCATACTGCAACGATACATGGCCTTCAGCAGCAGTACCAATTTGGGGTATTCCTGCTCCTATGCCATTGCACACCACCTCTTCTTCAGTTGTGCTGGGGGAACTGTACTCTTAGAGACAAGATCCTAGAGCTTAAAAAACCCCCAACCATTCACACAACAGTTTTATGAGCTGTTTTTAAGCTATGCAGTCATCTCCAAACTGTTTCACAGCACCTCTAATACAACTGAAAGGATGCTGCACAGTGGCACAAACAGAAACATGCTGCTAAAGGCAGGGTCTGGTCAAACCACAACGTTGTAACAAATGCCTTCAGAAGAGAATGTGGTCTGGAGGCTGTTCCTTTCAGTTCAGAGAAAATACAACCCAGCAAGACAGTCACATCAATACAGAGATTAGCTCTAGAAGGACATCCCCAACAAGCAAGGACATCCATTTGGTCCTATCTACTATTACTGACAAGAGACTGACATAACTGAGCTGGCTCTCGGGTCATGCATTTCTCCCATCAACAGAAAAGCAGTGTATTATATACTGCAAAGCAGGAAGGCCCCATTTAATTAAAAAATATATCAAGATAAACAATTATTTCACTTAAGGGACATGCCCGATATGTAATACTGGAGTCAAAGGGAATACTTAGAGAACAGAGAAAGGGATGGCCCTCATAGCAGAATTACACAATTTCACTGTTCATAACAGCATAGAAGTAACGTATATTCACAGATTTACATTGATATCTATATAACTATGAAGGGATGAACTCTAATTTATTGTATAATATTAAAAAATTAGAGGGACAAGAGGAAATATGCAAAAACCATGTGCAACTCATTTCAACTGACTATGAAAATTAAGCTCAAAATCTTCTTTATTGTCATTCTAGAGGTCAGTAATAAGCAAATGAGGCTGACTTCAACTCTGAAGCATTTCAATAGATGACGATTTAGACAGTCTGGTTAAAATTCAAGAATGAAATTGTAAATCAAATGAAGGAACAGTTAAACTGAGCTTCAGTGTATTCTCTTTGAAGTTTCATGTATTTCTAATGTAGTATTTCACTTATATAGCTATCAATGTGGCTTTCTAGTAATAAAAAAAAAATTCCAATCGAATTTCAAGATGAATGTGCCTAAAGCTTGCAATACTGAAAATCTGCATTTCTCATGGGGTATACTATAGAATGAAAGGTCTATTGGAGTTTTTATTTTAAAGCAGACATTGATGAAAATTAAATGGTCTAGAGGACATGGTTTATCTAATGATAACCAGGAACAAAATAAAGGAAGTATCTTGAATTATCCTCACATAGGCTCTTCAAATAAAACCAGCCATCTAAAAAAAAACAGTTTACAACTCTTTATAGCGTTAGCCTAAGCTGCCATCACAGCCATTATGCTTGCACTGGTGCTTCAGATGGAATGTGGCTTTCTCACATCACTGGAAGCAGGATGATGTAGCATAACTGTATGGGTATTATGGGCGTCAAGACAAAATGGAATGCAAAACACTGCAACTTGAAACAGACAAGCTACTCAACGTCAAATTAAATTGAAAAATAATATTAACGGAACCTTTCACCAGTATCAAGGCTTTGATGCACACTGCATTGACAAATTAATTCCTGACCAACTCAGTGTTAATGTTAAAATATGTGGGGGGTAGTCGTGGAGAAACAGAAGACAGGTAGGATTTTTGTTTAAAAAAGTATTATTAAAATAAGAAAATTCAACCCAGCTTTGTCAGTAATAACCTGATCTTGAGTCTCACAACACAGTGGCCTAATCCACGCAACTGAAAGTCTGGTTTGGGTTAGGCATGTGAATCTAAGTATGGTGAGTCAAATTATGCTGTTGTCATCATGAAAATCTGAAATAACTCTCCTGTTGTCAATTTATAACTTGATCCACCATTGGAGTATTTCCAGGTTTGGTACATATACATTGGCACAAGAACTCTTCAGTAACATTCAGGTAACAGAACTCTTATTCCTGTGATCCTTCAGGTATGACTTTTGTAACAAAGTGACTCGTATCACAATTGCCAAACTTTCTGCCAGAAATTTTTTTTCCCCAAATGTTAAATTTTTGCTGCTGTCGCATGATGTACTGGGTATTTACAACACTAGCCAACCTGTTTCTGCGAAAGTAAATGTAAATACAAAGACCTTGATGTAGGATACTAAATAGTAAGTGCTCCACGAAACACAGCCAGGCCTGGCTCGAAGAGTCCTCATCATTCAGCTCCGACTAACATCATTGCACAATCAATGAATTTATTGCCTACCTGCGCAAAGTGGGAGAGGCCACATCGGGGTACTTGGCTCCTTGCTGGTGGGTACTTTGAGCTCCGCTAGAAGCAGTCTGTGATGCAGGGTTCACTTTAACAGAATTACATGAGGCCACGCTTTCGTTGTCAGACGAAATCCCTTTCTCTTTATCAGTCTGATTGACTAATCCTGGCAGAGAGTTTCCAAGGATTACCTTGGCAGGCTCTCTCATTTTAGGGACAGGCAGCCCAGCTGACTTGCTGCTTATGTTGGAGTCTATGCTACTTGTGCTAGATCTATTCCCAGCTCCACTTCTGCTACTGGATTTACTGGGCCGGGGTAAACTACGATACTGAAGATTAGTTCGGGCACTAAGTGCTAAGTAGCCATCATCCTGGTTCTGTGAGCCATCAACACTAGTCTTCCGACCAGTGGTCCTACCCATGAGTCCAGATGACTTTGGGATTTTTCCCAGGGTAGCCGATCTACTGGTGATAGTTGCCCCACTGGCAGTGATTATAGTCATGCCTACAGCTGACCCGCTCTGTTTCTTAAATCCAAATGTATTAGCATTAGCAGCAGTTGTTCTAGAGTTACTTGTGGGAAGCTTTTTGGATTCATCACCACTGCTGCGTCCTGCATCTGATGGGGAACGTTTAACATGTCCAGCTTTAGGAGATAGTCTACCCTTTTCTGATACCTTGGCGTCATCAGTTTTCCCTACAAAAATAGAAAAAGAATTCTAATATTTAATGACTTGGAAACATCAAGCAAATGATGAAACTCAAAGCAGCATGAAAAGCAAAAGCGTGTTAGCCACCAGAGTGTGGTTAAAAGTTATGATCTAGTCTGCACTGAACTTACATGCCACTCTGGTGAGTTATACATGCAGACTTGCCAGAGGAAGTATGTGGTGTGTTTTCCCTCGAGAATATGAAAAGCAGAACAGTCTTATGTAATAGTGACAGATAAGAAAAAAAATGTTTCCCTCTGTAGCTACCACAGATTGATCCTTTTTTAACATTAGAGAGAAGTAGTGTTAAGTGATTAGTAAAATTTTCCTAAAAGGCATTGTTCAAAGAAGTATCAAACTTAACTTTTTCATGTACAATTATGTATACAACCAATAAGAGGGGAAGTATTAATTTATATTACTAGATTATGCAAATTCAATCAATTCTCATTCACACATATGGAAGTGCTAAAATCACTACTACATTTATAAGAAAATCCAGAACTAAATAGTGTTTAGTATAAATTAACGTGCTGGTTTAGTATGGGAGAAAAAAAAAAAAGAAAAATCTCTTCAACCACACATACTATATGTTCTTAATGTTAACCATGACTTCAAAAGCTGAAATTATATTATTTATTCTTCATATGGCACTACTGTGCCCAAAAGTAGCTTGGCTTAAGACTAGAGTTGTCATGAAAACAACTTTCATGGTGTACTAGTCCTAAATATGCATTTCCAAATGTACAGAAATAGAAACATGGACATACAAGGTACTGTATAGGTTAAAACAATACCTAAAAATAAAGACAGGATTACCTGAAGTTCAGGTTCTGCCTCGGGAAAGTATTTAAACTGTTTTCATACTGAACACACTTTTGGGCTTGTTTATATCTTACACCTTTTCTCACCTGTTCCAGGTGTCTTTAATGTGCCTGAGGTGGTTGAAGGTTTAGTCCTTGGTGTGGTAATGCCAACCTGAGCCGACATGCCCCGTCGCCAGGAGCCCGTCTGTGAAATAACAGTGTTCTTCCTTCCAGAAGTGCTTTTATCAGATTCATCTGACACATCAGAAGGATTCCGCCTCCATTTAGGTCCTGGCTCCATTTTTATACCGCTATCAGATCCTCCATCTGATTTCTTGACTTCATCACCGGACCATAAGGAATTCCGCTCAACCTGGGAATGCTTTTCTGCATCAGTCTAGGACAGATAAGGAATTGCAATACAACCTTCAGAGCAAGCCTTTCATTTAAGAAGCTTCATAAATGAGAACCACCGAACTGCTTAATCAACTCAGTAGTCATCTCTAAGTACCAACAAACACAACATGCCTTCGACAAAAGTCAGAGCAAGAAATGAACACCAACAACATATCTTTTTAATACACTAGGGAAGAAAAAATACAAAACCCATAACAGCCATGCCCCTTAGAATAAAGAAATTAAACAAGCAAAAAACCAAAATCACCACAATGAAAAAAACCCACTTGATTTATAAAGGACATATTCAGCTTCATGACATTTATAATCCTCCATCTCAAATTTCTGACAAACCCTTTTACTGCAATGCCAAAAAAACGTTTCAAACCTGTGCAGCCAGCTTTCCTTTGTTCTTGCTGCTTTCCTATCTCTTGTCTGGCAATCTGATCTCCAGAGCATGAAGAGGCAGCTTTTTGAAGAGATTTTAAGGTGTGGAATGCTGTACATTTTAATCTAACATAGTAGAAGGACACCCAAGAACTGAAGAAAAATGAATCCCCAACAACTTTCTAACAACACTCAAGACTGACTTAAATACATAAATTACCTTAGTTTTTATTTATTTTCAATTCTCATAAACTGTTTTTTTTTCCCTATTCTTTGCTCAGACTGACTGTGCTACCAGTCTTTTATGGAGAATTTTGTAAAGCTTAACATCAAACATAGAATTTTCTCATTAGCAAGCCTTTGCCAAATTCTCAAAAATGCTTAAAATAAATCTATTACCCTATATATAAACTATATTCCCCATACATTAGCATTTTGTATTACTAATGATTACTCTTGCAGAATTCTACTTCCCCTATCAAATGCTGTTGATTAATTTGGGCAAATTTTATAACACCACAACCAACTATTTCGTGATCACGTACAAAAGACAAATATCCACACATTTGACCCTGATCTGGATAAAAAATTCATAGTTGAAGTGTTCTCCAGCCATCACAGTACCATGAAAGAGACTGACAATTCAACACTTGATCATGAAGCTCCCAAGTAAGAGTTGGTGAATTTATTAAGGTGTTGAGTACCATCTCTTCCCTGCAGCCTCACCAAAAGATGTATGTGCAGTAGCCAAATGGTAATATCACTTAAAAGTAAATTATTTTAAATACACCGAAGCATTATAAAGCCCACAACCTTTTACTCCCTTTGGATAATCAGAAAAGCACAGCACAAGGAAGGTGGATGATCATTTACCATGCTTTCAGCAAAATGCTACATCTTATTTTTAAGTTCCTGAAGTATGTTTCAAGTTTATGACTTTTTCTAACAGATCATACCATTAATATTAAAGAATCTAGGGAAGTTGTGGTTTAATTTCCTCTGGTTTTTACTGTAATGACTTTTTTTTTTTTTAAAGCTTGAAAAACTAGTCTAAGCAGTCGGTATGTGAAAGCTGACACCACACATCACAGTGGTCTGTCTTCAGTCACGTGAAATAGTTAGAGCCTATTTGTCTGCATAATGAGTCATTAGACTAACAAACATTCACTGAATTATGGATTTAGATATTATTTTCTTGTACTTTCCTTGTGCTATGCAAATGTTGTTTCCCTGTCTCTCCATTCAAAGAGAGCAACTCGGCATAGGCTTGAATGAAATACTGAGTTCTAATTTCCTTCTTTTTGTATGGCTGCAAGTTTGGGGGATGGTTACCTTTCCATTTATGACCATTGTGGGTGTGGAATAAAATCACAGTGTGACTGTTTCTATGTCCCATGTTTCTCTAAAATCTTCATTTCATGCAAACATCTCCTACGTTTACAGATCTTGGAAGAGAGCACAGGCAAGAAGTAACAAATAATTGACCAACAAAACCACCTCAGCATCATCCCTCATGTGCTCTCATTAATACCTTGCTTCAAGCACTTTGTCTGGAATTGTATATTTACACTCTTGGTGTTCAAGAGCAAGAAATACATCTACTTGCGAGTAAATGGCTTATTGTAGTTTTGGTTGCCTACGAAATATTCCTGTACCTTTTTTTTTTCCCTCCTCTCCACCTGTAAAAATAGTAAAATCTCATCAGAAAGAGCAGCATTACAAGAAGTCCTCTATCTTTGCTCTCTTCTATGTTTTTCCATAGCCTTTGAAATGCTGCACGTTTACCCTTGAAGCCCTCTAGCCAGAGAAGTTTCTGTTTAATGGTAAACACTGAAAACAGCACAGAAACATGACTAAGGAATCAAAACCAAAACACAGTGAAACCTGGTTTGGGGATTGCAGCTGAAACTCCATCTGCCTGAAAGGCCTGGAGTGGGTGAAAGTGGAAATATGGTTTGCTGGAGGTCATGGCAAGCCATCGTGAGCATGAGCTGGGAGCAAAACCTGCCATCTGACTGAGCTGGGAGCAGCGGTAACCCCTATGATTTCTCAACGTATTTCTACTGTTTTGTAAATTTATTTGTGAAGCTGTGAACAGACTAAACCCATCTTTGCTCCAACGAAACTAAGTTGCTTTGATTCAACAGCTTAAAGATGCTGCCGTTTCCTATTTAAAGGAATTGTTTCCTTTCCGTCTTCTGATCTTATTAGCATTGCATGAGCAAGTTTATTACTTGATCTCTTCTTCTCTTCTATCTTATTTCAGTTAAATAAGTTATTTTCAAATGCACACCAGGTCTTCATTTCTACTTAAAATATGTGTATGATGTGACTTTAAAGGCATAGTATATGCAGGGTTGTGTAAAAGGTAAGTTCTCTAAGTCTGTGCAATGTAAGGGAAAAATATCAGGGCCCCAAAAGTCGTACAGCTACATTAAGTGGTTTGGTACTTGGCATAACCAAAAGCAAGACATGGAAACATCGTAAGGCAAATTCTGGTTCCAATCAGTAGCTTGTTCAGAACCAACTTGTGAACATCTTCATAGCACTGTTACAAAAAGGGACTACAGCTATGAATCTCTATGAAGCTGGAAGTACTACCATATTTAAGTCCTGCTTCTTAGAGATGAAGAAACTACAGATTCTGGAGTATGGTGTACTCAGTAGCTCTGAAAATCTTACCAGAGACTTTTTTCCTACTGCTTCTTCTTTTCTAGTGATGTTTCTGCGTAAGTTACTGATTTTATCAGCAGACACTGACGTGTTAGGTCTCTTGCCCTTTGATGTTGCTGTATTATTTGTCTGGACTCCCAGCTGTACATGTATTGCCTTAAAACTCCCTCTTTACCTGAAATCCAACTTCTGTACCATCTCAAAAAGATGTGGCAGAATCACAGCAGCTTCAAAGTTAAGTGCCTACTATTTAGGAGAAAAGTCCACATCCCTCTGCAGATGTCTGCCAGTCCTTTGTGGCTCACCTCCCAGGGAAATGCAAACCTGGGTGCAGACCATCATACAGCACTCCAGGTGGGACAGAAAAGTCATATATGCAGCATTCACCGTGTCATGAGCTCTGAGGAGTAGTTTGAGCAGCAAAACATCAACCCTGCAAGCTACGCATGGTTTCATCACTCCAAGCTATTTTCATTCCCCTGGTTGACATGATTAGGATATACTGTTCAAATGAAAACTAAGTATTTTATGGACAATAATTTGCAGATAATAGTAGCACCTAGAATAAACAGGTAGCCATGAAAACAGAGGAGAGAAGCAGATCACAGACACACATCGAAAAACTGCAAACACAACTTATACATCTTGGCTCCCAGCTTCCTCTTCTAATGACTATGCTCTACTGTCTGTACAAGCTTCAGCTGCTTTTCTTTGGTGTATGTCTGCACACTCTTGGATGCTGTAATAGATGTGGAGGAGGAAGAGGAGTTTGTCAACACAGATTTTGATCTCTCAGAGGTGTTTCCAAGAATCTGATCCATCAAAAGATAGAAGTCAAAGGAGTTTCTATTTTTTTTTCCCTGGGTTAATGTTTAGTCACGTCTCCCTTTTTCTCCTTTTTTTTTTTTTTTTCAAACAGTATTACAATGTTGAGACAGTAACAATTGTCAAAAAATACTTCTTGTTGTCTATGTTACTCTCTCTGTTACATACTGAAAAACAAGCTTGATAGATTGTAACTCCTCTCAACTTGCACAGGACTTGTATTAGCAGTTTCGAGCACACATGCAATCGCTGATACACAACCAGAGGCTAACTGGAAATCTTTAATGTAGGCTCAAATACGAACTTCGTGGCAAGGGAACAAAGGCTAATATATGCTTGCACCACAGTCCTGCAGGCAGAATAACACTTAAGAGCAACCACAGGTCTACATTAAAACTGATATTAAAAACAGATTTAGGGTCCAGTCATGAAAAGGACTGGAGAAGAATAAAAGAGGAAAGGAACAGAGGAGAAGGTTATACCTACATCCCTCTCCTCTACCTGCTGCAACGCCAAGTCACTGCATCCAGGCTGCTCTGACACGCAACACCCGAGTCCCTCAAGCAGGTGGGTGTATAAAGAACAAAGCTGGACTGCTTAGTCCTGTACTTTTCCGAACAAAATTCTATACAACTGAGGAAAAGAGCAGTTTATATTACCGCAAATCTCTGCACTATGCAGCCTAACTGATGGATGAAGATCTGTTGGATACCTTCACTTGGTTTACCTTCCTTGGATGTGTGGTTCTGGCCACAAAATGTATGTGTATGCTGCCGATGGATGTAAAATTTATACTCTTATGAAATGCTGACAAAAATAAAAAGCCTGCAGTAACATGCAGCCCCAGAAGTTTAAAATAATCTATTTCATTTGCCTAGCATGCTTACATTTCCGATGAAAGTGTAAACAATCTTTAAACTTTCATGTTGACTTAATTAAATTCTATTCTTTAAGAAAAAACATAATACCTTTTCTAGAGCTAAAAAAAGACAAATATCCCATCTACTGATGCACGTTTTCTGTACAGCAGTGCTGCCAGGAAGGGAGAAGCCATTTGTTGCCACACCACCACAGCAGAGATGCCATGGATTCCACACACAGAGGAAATATTCATAAATGACACATATGATAAGGTGGTTAATATTACTTGACATTGCCTTTTCAGTGATACCGTCTGTAGTGAAGGCTGCCTGTGTGTTCAAGTCCATCCAACTTAAAACAATTATACCTACTGCACAGATAAAACAGTAAGTATCAATGTTATTTGTCTAAACCAGAAACCTTACCTGTGCATCTAAGTTTTTGCGGGAGGAGGCAGGTGTGTTGGCATAGGAGCTGATAGAGGAGCTAGTGTTAATGTCATCCGTACTGAGATTATCTATGGTGTCACTGATCCCACTGCTGACAGAGCTGCTGTCATCCCAGCTGGAGAAAAAGCACAGCAAAGGTAGAAAACAAGGGTCAAAAGACAAAACATCATTCAAAAGGAAAAGTATTATCTCTACAAGGCTTATTCTACTTGCTGTTGCCAAATGAAAACAATCTGCTCATTTGCCTAACCTCCCTTCTTTGCACTTCAAGTTTAAATTCATACAGCTCATTGACCATACAGTTGCCACAAAGCCTGATATATACTATCATTAAGCCAATAGCACCAATTATGCAACTCTTCCTGACTCATCTGAAAGTTTGTATGAATATACAAAGTGACCCTCAAAACTTATGCCTGCAGTCCCAGAGCAGGGGAAAGCGGAGGTAACAAAGCATCTCCAGGGAGGCAGAGCTCTGACTTGCTAAGCCATAATGAAGAGATGGAACTTAAATGCAAGGAAAAAAATTAATCCTGAAGCAATCTTTTGTACCTGGTTGTTACAAAGACCTGTGTGACAACCTGGATCTACTGTCGACAGCACCACTGGTCTCAGAAGTTTTTAGTAAGTGAAAGTTTGGTTGTTCAGATGGTACATATCCTTCCTGAGCTGTACCACACATCCTTTTCAAGGAGATCTATTGGCAACTTACTATTCAGGACTACCTTCTTCCAGCATGTGATAGTTTCACAACACTTTCTAGTAGATGAGAAACACTTAACTAGAAATTTAAGACACAGAAAGCACCAGCAAAAAAATGTCCGTACCTGCAGCGATTTGAGTGACAGAAGAGACAGAATCATAATGATCTGAAAGACAAGCTAGATGCTCCACTCCTAAAATGCCTGTAAAAATAAGCTGCTTAAGGAAGAGATTTATAAATTGGCTTATGACTGCTCCATACCCAAGAACAATAAAGCTGGGATTGAAACACTGTCCTGTGAAGACATTTCAGTCCACTGATGGATAACTACTGCTGGAAATACATAAATACATATTTCAGAGATGATCCGTGAAAGCTAGAGGTAAGAGCTCATCTCCTGGCAGTTCTCTAGCTATTCATCACCACAGCCTCAGATTTTGGGAGCTCCAGCCTCCCTTACTGCATTTCTGTTTGTTTTACAAACTTTTAACAAAGATTGCAGTGAGTTTTCTGACCATAGAGTGAAAGCCATTCATGAACTGATATACTAGACATTTAATATATGCATTTAAAATTGAACTGCATGCTGTGTAATTGAACTATGTAAAGGCAGACAATCTATGTCTGGTTTCTTGAATTTTATTCATAGCTTCACCACTGATTTACTATATAGCCTTACCATATAATCTTTGGCAACTTTGAAATGAAAAACATTTCACTTTTCTCATTTAGTGCTACAAAACAGCTACCCGTATGGGTTTTAATGATGCTTTAATAATTTTTAATTGCTTTTTGCTTACTTGGGAGTATTTTGTTCACCGACATCTACATAAGGCCTTTCAGGGAATTGAGTACAGCTTAACCAGCAGCACAATTTGCTGAACCGCATGAACAGCAGTGGCCACAGGGACATGCTCCTCTGTGTGCCTGCAGAAAGGGTTATTGCTCCCAGCTGCTCTTCGCTACCGCTTTGTTCCCTGTTACCATCCTCATCAATCTGCCAGCAGTCATTTGTGCCAGTTCTCCCCGTATCACTGCAGACAAGGCCAGCTGGGAAGCTCAGATCAACAGTTTCAGCAAGCCGGATTGATTTTGCCTTCAGGAAATTTGGGAGAACTCAGCCAGGCTGCTCTGCTGGCAGAGGACAGGGATGGACAGGGATGGGCAGGGACAGACACCAAGACGAAGCGCTGACCCCTGCTGCAGGCTCCCTTTCATGGAGCCTTGAGGTGATCCTTCATCTGGTGTCCTCCAACTTGTAAAAACACACTCCTGCCAGTTCTGCTTGACTTCAATGACTGTCCCAGCTACAGGCAAGGCCAGGGCTTGCAGGAAGATTTTCCAAACGCTATTTGATAAATCCACAGACACTCCAGTGCTCCTGATAAGAAAGAAACACTGTAGTCTACAGTGTTGATAATGCTACAATTTAAAGAAAAGACATACATTTTATTTTTTTTTTCTAGATTTGCCTTCACCTGGATATTTTTAAAGAGGAATCCACTGCCATGCAAAACAGAAGTACATGTTAAAATAAAACTCCATGCACAATGTGAGACCCACTGAATCTGACAAAGCCAGCCAGCCAGATTCGACACAACAGTTTTATTTGCTATTTTCCAAAATCTTCCTCAACATAACTGAATGAAAGATGTGATGACCATACACAGAAATCCATGAAATATAAAGGTGGGGGAAAAAAAAATATAAATAATATTTCCCGCCCCCCAGTGCCTAGTATGGAAAAATTGAAACCTTGGAAAAGAACTGAAAGACTTTTTTGAAGCACCTTTTTTTAAAAAAGAGTAGGCAATTAAATATTATAACACAAAATATTGAAAGCTACATTACTTCTAATTTTCAGTTTTTAAAAACAGGCCCCATAACTGATATTTGCTTGTATTTAAAAACCTATAACATAAAGCAATTACAATTCCTAGATTTTATAAGTCTGTAGGTAAAGTTACTAAATAGTTATTAAAATAACTGCGTAAAAGAATATGCAACTCATTTTCCAAAGTTTTGTGTAGCAACTTACATCATCTTCTCTATTTCTGAACCTATAATAAAATCCTAGTAATAGTAATATCAGTAATGCCTATGTTTTTCATGTTTAACAGCTTAATTTTTTTCTTAGCAAGACATGGCAATGCCCCCCTGCCCCAATTACAGTAACGTTCTTTTGTGTGACTCATAGCTCCATCTTCCATGTACAGAAACATTACATTTCCAGCCATTCACCATTCTTAAACTATCACAGGCCCAGTTCATCAGTATCTAAAGAATGTGTCTAATGTTAATCATCAGTAGTTTGACTGGCATCAACCAGTCTTGTTGACTTCAGCTGGGCAATCTAAGGCATTATGGAAATATCTGAGTGCCCTTCTGAATTGGCACATGTGCCTGAGGACAAAGGTAGAAACGTGCACCTGAATACATTGATGGTTGTGGCTTCCCCTTACGTATATCCTGAGCTTTAAGTCTTTTATGTTCTGATGGAAACTATGAACAGCTCAAACTTGGTATTTTCAAGTTTACTAATCTGTTACTAAATTAAAATAGATTAGCTACTCGAGGTCCAAAGATCGATGTCTGGCTTTTTGGCTGCCAGAAGCCAAGCAACAGAACTCATATAGGCATGCTGCTAGCACCGAGTGATGACGCTGACGTACAGAGGCTGACAAAGGAAGATGCTGTGTCAGCTAAAGCCAGACATCTCAGGTTTAGCTTTATTTTAAAGAACCACTTCAGCAGAGGATGTAACGGGCCAAACTCTAGCCAGAAGAGCAATGGGACATAAGAGAACAAGAAAACACAACTTCTTAAGAAAATTAAAATAATTTTGATAACCTACATAGATCATTGATGCTGTCCTTTGGAGTAATGCTAGAGAGTGTTTTAATTTGAGATGGTGTTCAGAATTCACTGAACTCTGTAAATTAGATGCCAATGCAAGCAACTTTATGAGAACACAACATGTACTGCTAAAAAGTAATGCAGTTAAAGCACAAATACTGCTTCACCTGCTGTCAATGATCCATTACATTAAAAGCCTCCCCCCCATCACACCGTATTTGGTGTAAGATACAGCATAGGACATGCTGCTCCATGTCCATATCTGCACGTGGGTGAAGACTGCAGCTCCTTGAGAGGACAGCATCTGTTAACAAACTGAGGTATCTCTATTTCACATTGTTCTTGAAACAACCCCAATCCCTCCACATAAACTAGTTCACTTTTACCTTGATCCAGTGCCTTGATGGTTAAAGTCAAAAGCAAGAGAACAGAATGGGGAAGCTAACAGCCCTCCTAATTATGGTGTTCTTGGCTCCCAGGGCCACGATAACATCTTTGTAATTTAGCTGGTGCAATTAATTATTTCTGATGTCAGCAAAAGTCTACTCAACCATAACCTGAAGCTGAAATGTTTGAGTTTTCCTTTCTCTATTTGATCAATCACCTGAAACTTTACCTTGCTTACTGAAGATTACAAAAAAAAAAAAAAAAATCTTAAAAGTGTATTATATATGAAAATTATACAACCACCCACTTAAAAACTATCACCACCATCACTTAAAAACTCCCACAAAACTGCCTCCTGTTCTCTATGAAATCAAGCACCCTAAGCACTCTCCTCTTCCCTCCCCATCTCAGCCTGCTCACCCTAATGCAACTAAGAACATTGCTACTATAGATTGCCCACATACAGTACCAAGTCAACTACTCAATGTTGTTTTTTGAAACAGGTTTCCAAAGTGGTTAGGCTCAGACTTGTATTTTTCCACAGTCTATCAGCACTTTTCCATCTTGCATAATCATCATCCATGGAATTGGCTCTTCTTTGGCAACTTGGACAGCACAGCACAGAAAACCATCCTGCAATTCTCAGGACAGCCCCCCTCATTGCAGAAATCTTCCGCCTTTCCAAGTCCAAAGCAAAGCAGTCACTAAATCAATATTAAATAAAGTTATTGTTAAAGGCTGAAAATGCACCCTTCTCTATGGATGGGTGTGGATTTTAAGTTAACTGGATCTTCAGTCAAAACCAAAATTACAATGAGCTGCTGAAAAATGCATTTGTCCAAGACAGGACCTTGGGGTTCTACAATATTTCAAGTGGAAACATGGTAATTACCCTCTCCTACCTAAAAATTTTACTATTTATGTGTTGTTAGGAGAACAAAAAAACCCAAACAAACCAAAAAAGGTCAAGGCATAAAATGATTGAAACTTCACAGCATCTTCAAAAAATTAAAAAGGAAAAATAAAAAAGCCAGAAAAATGTAAAGGTGCTATAAAATGAGACACGAAATACTGCAAATTCCACTGTTTTCTTCTGGGATTTCCTACAATACTGACATCACTGTGTCAGAAATCCAAAAACCATATACAGACCCCTTGCATGGTTTTCC